CTTTTAATTAGGTCATAGGTATCTATTATTTTTGCACTGTGGTGCTCCAGCTGACTTTTAAGTATCTATTACTGCACACATTAGAAACCAAGATAAAATTAAGCCCTTGTTATGCTATGGTAATTATTTTGGATAATTTAAAAACATGAGTACATTCTCAGTGCTTTGATTTATTTCCATTAATTACTGTTTTTCATCTATAATGGGTCTTTATTCTTCTCACATACAGCATAATTGTTCTTCCTTTCAGCTGTATCAAACTATTTTCATTGCAAATTGTTACACCTACTGGATTTAGATAGAAAAGGGTATTGTTGAAATGTACGTTTCCGTGGTAACTTTAGGATTCCTTCTTTTAAGAATGCTGAAAGGGCTTTTTCTGAAGCCAACACAAGCTCCCACACTTGAAACACGTGTGTTCTGTGATTCATGGTATTTTATAGAAATGTTCAGTATACATGGATGATTGCAATATGCCTCTTGCTTCTGTACTTAAACACTTTCACCAGATCTGGTGCGTTGATGGGAAACCTGGATAACTTGGGAGGAGGAAGTGGCAGAGAGTGAATCCATTCTGTGTTGTTGCCCCAGGGGCAAAAGGCAACAGATGTGTGAGGTACTCCAGGGTTAACAATAGAGAGATGGCTTGTATAATTTGGCCACCCAATCCACGACTGTTTGTGGGACACTGCTGTGCATAATTAGCTGCGTGTTTCGCCCACAAAATATACCGTCAATTCACTTTACAGTATTTTCTGTGAAGCGCTTTGAGACGTCTCAAAAACGTGATAAGGTGCTATATCAAACGCAAGGATTATTATTACAATAACCCCAAGATGGGATCCTAAATACGGTGTGTTAAAGAATGTTTTTGCAAATTTCGATATTTTTCTTTCCGCCAAGATAGCAATTTGCTGTAGGAAAGGTAAATAGTTCAGGCATATGGTAAAATATCCTCCATCAAACTACACTACACCCGGTCAAAAAGACTTGACTTGTTTGACGTTACACATCGGCCGAATGTGATGATCTACGAAAATTCTTAGCTGCTTTTCCCTGGTTCAAACGTAGCTTCTCCTCCTTCGATCCTAACTGTCGTAGAAGGTTTCTTAACTCACTAACTCTTAGCTGTTGAATCAAACACTATATTTTAGTTTAGTCCAATATGTTATCCTTTCGCTTGTAAGTGCTCTACTACATCTAATAGTGTTAAGCATCTTGACCCAGTTTTATGTCTGCTTGTATCCTGTATGGATCCACTATCAGAGCAGCTGAACATGGCTTTATTGAAAAAGAGCATCAGTTACAGCAGTTGTTCCTTCTGGCCACTTGCTAATGCTCTCTCTCAAAAGTTTAGTGAATCTTTTCTTTAATTTTTCTTCAATTCCGATGGTTCATGTGTTAGCTTAGCTATTTTTTCATACTGGTACGATCAGCACTTCTTTAAACCTTCCTCTCTTGTTTTTACCGAATTCAAAATATATTGTCCTACACATTTTTCTTCCTTCCTTTTCCCTTGATATATTGTAATCAAAGCTCAATGCACCTTTCCTGGTCTATCTCTGTTCCTAGTTTATTCCTTTTTCTGTATTATGACTGTCTGAAAACTTCTGTGAATCATTCACCTAGTTTTTCAATAAAAATAACATACATGGTCATCTGGAGATGCGTCTGATCAGCTTTCCTTCTTTCTCCCCCCAATATGTAAGATAGCTGAATCTTTGTTTTGTAAAAGTCATTCTGACCTATTTTTCTAATATTATTGTTTTGTGTCCATTTTAAAATCGGTTAAAACTAGACAATGAACACATGATTTCCCTATTAATGTGTATAATAATAATAATTCTTGCATTTGATATAGCACTTGATCATGTCGTTGAGACGTCTCAAAGTGCTTCACAAAATATACTGTAAAGTGGATTGACTGTATTTTGATGTGAAACACGGTAGCCATTTGCTCATGGTAGTGTCCCACAAACAGTTGTAGATTGAGTGACCACATTTTTTTCTTTGGAAAGATTATTATCCCTGGAATGCGATCCACCAATCAACTAACCACCAGGTTCCTACTTACTTCTAGGTAAACAGGCGTGTGGAGTAAGGAAACTTGAGTAAAGTTTTGCCCTGCCCAGGAAACGAACCCGGATCCTCTTGCTGCTAAGGCGAGGCGTTCTAGCCTCTGGACTATGGGACTTTACGGTAGAAAGAGATGAGGGAGAGAGAGAGAGAGCAGTTTTGGCCTTCTAATACAGCTGTCTGTTCATTACAATAGGCTTACTGTTCTAAAGCTGGTTTATTTGTACCGCACTTGGTGGTAAAGTAATATGTTAGTCTTAATAAGGAAAATTCCAGAGCTTGGTTTACAGATATATCCTACATAACTATAGTCAAACTACTAATTTTAGTCAAATATTGTTGTATTTTAATGATTAAAAAAGTCCATTATTGATATTGGACACTTTGCACATTTACTGTAATGTGAGCAAAGAATTTCCCAGATTGAATCTGATCACCAAGGGTGCATGCCTTCATAAATTCAGGTCATGTGGCAGTGGGTGTTAAATGACTGACCTATGTGCTTAGTTTTAATTTCCCATAGAAAACTGAAAAAAGTTCATATCGATCATCCTAATGCAAATTTCGTGTTGGCCAAGGTCAGCACTTGCGGGTGTTTTTACTGTTTTATTTAAACTTTTGGTGAGATTGGTTGTGATTTGCAACCAATAAGAATTTACAATATAATTGGGACTGTAGTTTCATTTTAATGTCAATAGTTCCTATTTAGTAACTTTATTGGTAACAAAGGAACTGCTGTATGTGCTTAGTACAGAATTTGACTTTTGGTAATAGGTACCAATATTGAATTGTAGAAAGCTTATTTTTCCTTCAAAATGGATATACTTTACAGTGTTCAATATGATTATTCCTTAAAAATGTTAATTACATAACTGCACAGTAAATAACTTATTGTAGAAGATACAGGTGATGATGATTTTGGAGGCACCACAGTTCTTGCTGTTAAATAAAAAGTATATAGCTATATATATATATATATATACTTTTATATTCTGCTTTTATATTCTGCTTTTACATAATGTTCTGCTAATCCCTAAGTCTGAGACTTTGAATAATTAGGATTCTGGTGGATCTAAACAGATTCTGTTAGACCATTACAGTAACTTGGTGTTTGCGAGAAGAATAAACATCAATCATTAGTAGATTTTTTTGACCAGATTTACTGAACTTTTTAAAAAAAATTGTTTTTAACATTTTCACAACAAAGAATAACCTCAAAGCAAGATTGTATGTGATGAAAAGGAGTTATGATCCCTATGCACACATTGCTGAAGTCAGTTTGGAGTAAAAATCAAATGTTAAATTTGCGTCATTGGAGCAGAACAAATACTGTATATTTAGTGCAGTATAAACTAATTCCAGGGATTCTCATCTATCCAAACTCTCATTTCAGTCACTGTTCTGTTTTTAGAAGGTTTGATTTTTTTTCATGGTGGAATGGGGTCAAAGACTACTAATACAAGATCTAGAACTTGTATTTTTGGATTTGAACCTATGGGAAGTAACTCATTTTATGTGTATTTACACTGTACAGCATTCACAATTTTATTATTGAGCAAATATAAATATTCTGAATTAGTTTTACTATTGCTACCATTGTCTCAAATTTGTATATATTTTTATAAAACATGCCGTTTGTGTTATTCTGGATGTAAAACTACAATAGAGCTTCATTATAGCACAATGTATTGAGTTCAGAAAATCCCACCAGTGCCTATGACTGGTCAAAGCTTCTGCATTCACTCTGCATGAGAAAGCCAATTGGCAGGCAGGAAGTGATGTCTGCAATTATGTTTTTTTGAATATCAACTATTATTTTGTAATTATTTAAAAAATACACTTTAAATCTACTATTGCTGAAAACCCCCCAATTAAATCATGGTCACTGTTATTCAGCATCAAAAGAATGCGATAAGTAATGGAAACAAAATCTTGTAATATCAATTTTGTCACCATGTTTACAGTTAGTTTGGCAGTGTACCTTATGGGGTTTTTCAGTTGCTCAGCTTCTTGAAGAACCAGCATTTAAGTGCAGTACAATGTGCAGATTTGTGGCTGCAGTCCCCTGCATACTGAGTTCAGATCTGTCATGTCATTATGTGGAGATGCTAATTCAAGACCAGGTGACTTCTCAAATACTTTGAGAAAGAATACTGTGGTGCATTTAAGTTTTAGTAAGTGAGATATATATATAATACCTAATTTATCCTCGAGAGTTAAAACCTTTCCACCCAGTATCACAAAGCTGAGTCTCTAATTGTTTGGCCCATACAATGGAAAAAATTGTTGAGAAGCCAGAGGGACCATGTTATAGTGCAGGAAATTCTTAAGTAACAAGGGTTTATTTATTGAAGAGAAATGTAATGTAATGAACTACCAACCATGGTAGTGTTAGTCAAAAGTATTTAAACCACAGACGCATCAATGTTTATCACATGTTAGATTATGGCCATAGAACCCAAAGCTACTGGTTTGTCCTTTACCCATTTACAGCACTCTAAACTTCGTCTCTACAGGGGAGTTTGTGCAGCATAGGAATGGTGTTTCAAATTGTGACCTTATAATAATCATCATTAATAATAATATAATCACTGCATTTGATGTAGCGTCTTATATTGTGGAGACATCTCAAAGCATTTCACAGGATTTTACTACAGTAATGCATTATTATTATGTGTATTTGTAGGCAAATGCGTAGCCAACTTATACACAACAATGTTGCACAATCAGCCATGAAGTGAATGGACCAATTCTGTAACCTTGTACTTGTCCTCACTTACTTGAATTTTGTAAGGCTATAGATGAACAAGTAAAGTATTTTAAAAAGATGACGAGTTGCATTAATTGAGGAAAAAAGTTCTGAGAAATGTGAAGTTTGTTTGCAATAGAATTATTTTGCAATGCTGTTACATTATCTGTTTTAGGTTTACTGTACCTACTCTGATGATGACTATGATCGGCGTAATGAGGAAGTTGATCCCGTGGCAGCGTCAGCAGAATATGAATTGGAAAAAAGAGTGGAGAAAATGGATGTTTTTCCTGTCGAAATTGAAAAGGGTGAGCATTTTAATTAGCTGATTTTTACACCATTTTCTTTGAATCTGGATTCATTTCCATGTTTTGGGAGGAGAGTGGAAGAGGTACCTTGGGATACTATTACTCAAGACCAAGATGTTGTTTCTTTGCATGTTAAGATTAAAGTGCACTGAAAGAATGTGGTTGCAGTAGTGGTAGGCTGTCAGCAATCTGTTTTTTTTAGTGTTTCTGCATATATTTAGGATGTTTTCTCAGAGGATTGTTATATTTTAGAATTCATTACCACAAGTGGCTATTGAGTCTGGATCAAAAGGTTCATTCAGAAAGGAACTGGTTAAGCACCTGAGCGGCAAAATCATTAAGGTATACGTGTAGAGAGCTGGAAAGTGAGATTAATCAAAATGGCAATTTAGATAAACAGTGACATTGGCACAGCCGATAGATAAAATCGACCCCTTTAGTGCAGAACATTTCTATGTTTTTATCTTGGAAAAGTCTATATGGAGTATTTTAAATATTAAGCAACAATGTTGAAGCTAAACTTTAAATTAAAAATAAACTAAAGTGAGGAAGAAAAGTTTAAAGTGTAGATAATGATAGAGACTGAATGCTGAACAAATTAAAGCAAACCTTGGACATGTTTAGCAATACAAGAATAATTGTTTGGGGTGGCAAATAAAGCAGTCATTGTCTTGTGAAAATTGGTTTACAACAGCTTTATGTTCATAAAATTGTGTAAAATTTAGGTGAAGGGGGTCTTGGAATTAGCATCATTGGAATGGGTGTTGGAGCCGATCAGGGCCTTGAAAAGCTGGGGATTTTTGTGAAAACTATTACTGAAGGTGGAGCTGCTGACAAGGATGAACGGTAAGACATTACTCAGTACAGTAATTATTCATTATGCAACTGCCTTTTTCAAAATAAGTAGTTTTATGAAAAAAAAGTTTGTCTGTCTGTGTGCATCTCTCTCTCTCGCTCGCAACCAAATATTCATGCCAACATTTAATTCCACATCTGTATCCTGTTGCACATAAGTGTTTATCCTGCATGTAAATAAGCCAATGTTAGCTATCGAATTAGAAACTAAGAATAAATTCTGTTATCTAGTTTATATATGAAACAACATTTTGAATGTGTGTTTGATGTGGCTGCAAGTTAATTTTAAAATGAATTCTTGGAAGACTAAAAATTAAATATGATTAATTTAGTATACTCTAAACAGTTGTTGAAGAACAAAATCCCATTGTTGTTTATTTGCTAGAAAATAGATTGCTGACAATATTAGACTGTGCACAGTTTATATACAAATTCAAATGTTTTGCACTTCAGAATTTAACTATATATAACATTGTTTAAATTGCAGAATCCAAGTAAACGATCAGATAGTTGAAGTAGATGGTATTAGTTTGGTTGGTGTCACCCAGAGTTTTGCAGCCAGTGTCCTGAAGAACACTAAAGGCGTAGTAAGGTAGGTGGATCGACTGTTTCCTATTCTGTAGATTAAGTAATTGCACCAGTGGTGAGAGCACAAATTTCCTTTTCCTTCATTCAGATCTTTCATATACAAACTAAGAATAAAGTATCTGGTACTCTGTGACCTGTTGCAACCCTACTATCTGGCACACTCAGTTAACACTGGCCCGCTTCATGTTCCCTACCCAATCCACTCAACCAAGGTGTGTGAGCTTTCAGCCATTCTGCCCTTGCTCTCTGGAACTCCCATCTGCTACTCCCCCTCCATCCACATCTTTAAAACCTGCCTTAAGACTGTTTTCCACTGCTTTTTGGTCACCTACTCCACCCAGTATGGAAAGCGCTTTAAGACTCCTCCTGATGTGGACGGTTCTATATAATTGTAAATTGTTGATGTTGGTAAACAAGTTGAAAATAATGTGCAAGAACAAATATTTAGACTAATTTGAAAATAGATTCCTCATTGGTCGAGAGAAACCGGGCCAACAAAGTGAGGTTGCTCGACTCATCAATGAAACACTGGAACAAGAAAGGTGGCAGGAAGAACTTTTGGAGCAGCACAGTGTCCAGTATAGTACAAGTGATAATGAACAGGTAAGAAGATTTGTATGTCCACCATATTTAACAATTTCCTACAGTTGTTTCCTCTCTTTCCCGGCTCACTGTCGAGCTTCACCACTGGTAAGCATGCCGTGATGCTCCCCTGCATGAAGGGTGCTATATAAATGTTGTTATCTTTGCTGGGCTCCATTGGCTCCCTATTGCAGAATGAATCAATTTCAAGTTCCTCAGACTTGCTTACAAATTAATTCATTCCCAAGCACCTCCATAACCTTCCAAATTGCTTACATAACCATCTATGGCCTACACTCCGTCATCCCCTCTGCTCCACCATCAGCGACTGTGCATTCAGCAACTGCTCCCTGGAATTCTCTACCTCAATTCTCTTGTCTTGCCCCCTCGTGTAATAATTTATATTTTGCTAATGTTTGCTCGAATCCTAAGCCAAAATTGAGTTTGACCTTTCAGCGAGGACTAACAGCAATGGCCAGGAAAAGTAAACTTGCCTCCTCCAATCTTTGAGTGATGTAGTCATTGTGCCTCACATGAATTGGTGTATATGCCAGGAGATAAACACATCAGACTGTTTTCCAGTTTGTGGCATTTTATCTGATTAGATGCTTGGATAAAAGACTGGGCTGATTAGATGCCCTGCCCATGCAGCAGTACAACCATCTGTCCAATCCGTATTGAGCTCATAAAGCAAAATTGTAAATTCATTTTCAAAAATGTCCACACTGCACCCAGTATAGGACTTGTCATTTGCTAAACTATCCAATTCTGTTTTGAAGGTGATATAGGCTGCCTTCACTGTCTTTTAGTGTTGTCTATTTCACATCTATTCCATACTGTCTGTAAAGCAATAAAATCTGAACTGTATGTTCATCTTCCCTTTTCTGAGTTTGAAGCTACGTAAGAAAGACCTTGTGTACTTGGCAGTGACAGATGTCGTAAATACCTTTTGTCTTGCTTCTATGTTCTGTAAAACAACAATAATTTGTCACTAATGTTGTTATTGGATATGTATTAAAATTTATTATTAATTACTTCAATATTTAATGTAGCCTTCTGTAGTAGACTTGACTTTCTCGCTTGCCATTCCCTCTTTGAACCCCTCCAATCCGGCTTCCGCGCTGCCCACAGCATGGAAACAGCCCTGGGTCAAAGTCACTAATGACATTCTGAACATCTGTGATCAGGGCTCCCTCTGCCTCTTTGTCCTCCTCGACCTCTCTGCTGCCTTCGACACTGTTGACCACTCCATCCTCATACACTGCCTTTCCTTAGTTAATCTTCATGGACCTGCCCTTGCCTGGTTCGATTTCTGTCTCTCTCACCGTCTCCACTTTGTTGCCTCTAACGTTGTCTCCTCCAGTCCCCGCACTGTCACATCTGGTGTCCCCCAGGGCTCTGTCCTTGGCCCTCTCCTCCTTAATATCTACATGCTCCCCCTTGGTGACATAATCCGCAGACGTGGTGTCAACTTCCATATGTTTGCGGATGATACCCAACTCTTATCTTTCTGCCTCCACCCTCAACTCCAGGACCACTGCTGTCCTGACAGACTGCCTGTCGGACATCAAGTCCTGGATGAGGGCAAACTTCCTACAGTTGAATGTGAACAAGACCGAGGCGCTCCTGAGTGGCTCGTGCCAGCACCTCTGCACCTCAGGCTCTGGCAGCATCAACCTCCATGGTTGCACACTTCCAAATCACCAAGCCAGTCAGGAACCTGGGTGTCTTGTTCGACCCTCAACTGTCTTCCTCACATCCAAGCCATGACCCGCTCTGCCTTCCCTTAACTCCGTAACAACGCCTGACTCCACCACTACCTAACCCCTCAGGCCGCTGAAACTTGTTCATGCCTTCATCACCTCCAGGTTCGACTATGCAAACTTCCTGCTTGTCATCCTTCCCAACTCCTCCCTCCACAGGCTGCAGACAATCCAGAACTCTGCAGCCCGTGTCCTCTCCCACACCAAACTCCGTGATCCCATCTCCCCCATTCCTTCCCGACTCCATTGGCTCCCTATCCTTCAGAAGATCCCGTTCAAAATCCTGGTCCTCACCTACAAAGCCCTCAATGGTCTCGCCCCACCCTCTCTGTGACCTAACCCCCCTACCAACCTGCCCATTCCCTCCACTCAGCTGGCTCCGGCTTGCTCCATGTCCCCTGACCCAACAGCCCCCACCATTGGCGGGAGAGCCTTCAGCCACTCTGCTCCCAACCTCTGGAACTCCATCCCCGAATCACTCCGCCTCGCCCCCTCCTTAGCCTCCTTCAAGTACTACATAACATGTAGGAGCAGGAGTAGGCCATTCAGCCCTTAGAGCCTGCCCCGCCATTCAATCATGGCTGATCTTCTAATCTGAATCCAGCTAATACCATAGCCCTGCCTTATCCCCATATCCCTTAATCCCTTTTGTAATAAGGAATCTATCTATCTCAGTCTTGAATATGTTCAAGGATGAGCGTCAACAGCCCTTTGGGGTAGTGAGTTCCATAATTTTTTTTTAATTCCTGAAAGGCAGCAGCTGAACTGTTTATTATGAGGTACAAGCGGGTGAGGGGTGTAGGCCAATGGCACAGGCACCTGTGCCTGTCTGCCTCAAAACCCTCCTCTTTGACCATGCCATTGGTCATCCCCCTTCCCCTCCCCTCTCTTCTCCCCCCGACCCCAGCTCGGGTCTGAAATGCTGTACACTGTCCAACGCCTTGGGACGTCCTTCCGACGTGAAAGGCACTGTACAAATATAATCTTGTTGTTGTTTATAGTTTGAGAACTACTTGGATATAGTTTCAGGAGTTAATCTCTGATATGTTTTATACAACAGGGTGTTCAGTTTTGAGTTATTTTTTGGGTGTGGTCCTCGTAGATTAAAAGTTTATGTCACTTGAGGTGGTTCCAAAGGTTGCAAATTAAATGAACATTACGATATTTGCATCATATAACATTTTTTTTCTTGTGCTTATCCAGAAAGAAAACTAAAATCTTATAATTAAGGTAATAGTGTTAGAGTATATTGTCTTCAAGGAAATTTATTCTGAGCAACTTTGTCATTTTTTTCATAATAGTGTGAAGGAATGGAAAAGAGTTGAAACTACAAGTACAGTATATGTATTTTGGTAGCAAATATGCAGGGTGGGTTGAGGGGAACACCACTTACTTTTGAAAATATGATAATTATGTATCCAAATGTGTAATAAGCAATTGATTAACTTAATTAGTTAATTTATCTATTTATCTATTTTTTTCAACTTAAGGCTGAAGATATTCCTGAAGAGGAAGATTTTATGACTTCAAGTGATCTTGGAACTGGAGGATCAGTTGAAGTTTTTGACCTCCCAGAAAGTGAGAGTATGTTTTTACCTTCGGACGCAGATTCATCACAGCTTGTTCTTAAATTGAAAGAGGTATAGTAGTTACATTCTGTAAGCATTCAAGTTTAAATGGTTAAAATGAATTATACACATTATATTTTTATAATTAAAAATCTCTCCATCCTGGAGTCCATCTGATTCACTCATTCCCTCACCTCTTTCAAGATCAGTCTCCTTTTGATATGAAGCAGTACAGCCATCTGTCCAATCTTTATTGAGCTCATAAGGCAAAATTGCCAATTCATTTTCCAAAAAGTCCACACTGCACCTGGTATATGACTTGCCACTTGCTAAACGGCTACCTAATTCTATGTTGAGTCTGATGCTATGTGGACTCAAGAATTGATAAGCTATTGGTTAAAGGATAAACATTTTGGGAAGTTTTTTTCTAGTTAAATACTTATTCGTCACATCAAGGCTCGATTACAGGAACTCCCTCCTCATCGGCCTTCCCAACTCTTCCCTTCACAAGCTGCAGATCATCCAAAACTCTGCAGCTCGTGTACTCTCATGCACCAGGTTCCGTGACCCCATCACTCCCACCCTCGCCCAACTCCACTGGCTCCCCATCCCCCAGAGGATCGAGTTCAAGATCCTTGTCCTCGCCTTCAAGGCCATCTATGGCCTTGCCCCTTCCTACCTCTCTGACCTGCTGACTCCCTACCAACCTGCCCGCTCCCTCCGTTTATCAGACTCCGGCCTGCTCCATGTCTCCCTCCCTATCATCGGTGGCCAGGCTTTCAGCCTCTCTGCCCCACACTCTGGAACTCCATCCCACGGTCCCTTCGCCTCGCTCGGTCACAAATCCCTTCTCTTCGACCGTGCCTTTGGTCTCCCTCCCACTTCTCTGCCTTCCCTCACCCCTATACCACCCCTCCCCCATGCTCGGGCCCCGACACCTGACTGTTCAGCGCTCTGGGACGTCCTCCCGATATGAAAGGCGCTCTGTAGGTGTAAGTTTGTTTTTTCCTAGGTATAAGAGGAGGAAATGTAATTATAAATGGATCTTTCAATTGTAATAAAGAACCCTTGCTTTTCTTGTTGCCTGGATCTTGACCAGTTATTTCTCACTTGTTTTCTTTGTATTTCTAGCTTCAAATTAAACATGCCTTAACGACAGCAGAAACCAGTGAGTTGAAAGAGAAGGTATGCAGAATTCTCTATTCTGAAATTGTTTAAGAATGAAACTCACTTCCCTGAAATGTTTAAGTAATTAGTCCCTGTAAGTACAGACAGTTCCAGTGTTCTAACCCTTTCCCTGGAGTCAGGCTCCGCCACTGTTAAGCGCCTTGAGGCCCTACCCTGCATGGAGGGCACTATATAAGTGCAAGTTTTTGTTGTTAATGTATATACGTGTTCTTTGTTTGCATTAGCTAAAAACTATGGAAGGAGAGAAGATTAAATGGGAAACTACAAAGGTTCAGCTTCAGCAGTGTGTTGATGACCATAAGGAGAAGATGCAAAAAGTGGAAGGATATTGGTTAGAAGCACAAAATCTTTGCAAAACTGTCAATGAACACTTGAAAGAGACCCAGACTCAATATGATGTCATTGAGAAGAAGTATAACAAGGCTAAGAAATTGATAAAGGAACACCAACAAAAGTAAGTTTTTTTTTATAAATCTTGCTAGAAAAATGGCAATACTTTTGAATTCCTGTAATATGTATGCAGCGAAATTGTGTTATTGTTTCCCAATAATGTTGATTCACTTCAGTGATAACAAAATAATAATCATCCTTACAATGTTAGCCAATTACTCTGAAGTTTTCAGAAGAAGCGATATTCGTAAGCAAAATCTTGCCATTCATCCATTTATATCTGTTGTGCATGTTTTGGTCACTGAGTAGATGCGCTTGCCTCTGGGTGAGAAGGTCATAGGTTTAAACTCAAGCTAGATTTAATCTAGGCATAAAACACTCCAGTGGAGCCTTGACGTAGTGTATTTTTGAAAGCGTTATCGTTCGAAGGTATTTGCTTGTTCTGGTGATTCAAATAGACGTTAAAAGGTCTATAGCACAGAGTAGAGCAGGAAGTTCTTGTTGTCAAGGCAAATATTCCTCCCTGATCCATATTCACAGAACTAAGGTTAATTGGCCATTTGTCATGTTGGAAGTTGTAGCACAGATTAGGTGTGTCTAAAAACAGTACATCAAAGTAACTTTTTGTTTTGAACACTTTACATTTTACATATTACATATGCAGTTTTACACATACAGTTTTTTTGTATTGTATGAATATGATCTGATTACAAACTTTTCCCCTTATTTTAGAGAGATTGAATTTACTAAAAAGGAGGAGGACCTCAGAACAATTCTTGAAGATCAAGAAAAAGAACATGCTAAACAACTGAAAATCTTATGTGATAAGGTTAAACTTACTGGCGTCATAGTTACACTTCAGTTCATGTTTGCAAATATTGTATCTTCTGTTTATGAAATAAATCTATGTTCCTACATCCATATGTGTTTGCCCTACAGGTGCTGGAACTTGAAAATGCACTGCATTCAACAGGACAAATGTCTCCACTTAATACCAACAATGAGTTGAAGATGGAAGAGGAGAAATCTATGCTCGATAGCCAAGAGCAGCTCCAAGAGATTTGTAATGAAGATAACTCAAAAGAAAGTAAGTCACAATGGGTGATTTTAAATGGCTGATATATCAGCAGGGTTTCCTGTAACCACCTGAACTGCATTGAACCAACTAAACTTATTTATGGGTTGCATTCACACACGTTTACAGTATCACCTAGTCCTTAGATTCAACTCTTCTGATAAATGAATATAAGAATAATGAAGAGTTTATGATCACTAAGTATGTGTCCACTAAAGAATTCTGCAANTTTTTTCCCATATTTTTGAAAAGCTTCGAAAGATGCTGTGGAATTGGAAGGTAGCAACATTTTCAAAAATGTGGTAAGTTGGTGCACTAACATATACAGTTAAACAGCTCAAACCTCTCGTAGATCAAAATATTGAATTCTGATATTATTTTAGTGGTGCTCTGTGATTTGTTAGTTGACTTCTGTTGTAAAGCATTTATAAATGGACATTGGGTGTGGTCAGAATTGGGTTTCCTATTAGGGCCTGCTAACACTTGCTTTGATATACTGTCTAGGCTCAAAATAGCCACTTGACCAAGGCACTGGAGGCTGCCTCGTGCATGTAGAACTGTATTTAACTATAAGTCAGCATATTTACAAGCTAACAGCCAGTCATTCTTATGTAAAACACTTATTGTTTCAGATTTTGATGAAGCTGTTCCGGAAACCGAGAGATTAGATACAAGTTCACACAAGGCACGGGCACAACTTGCTCTAAAGGTTAAAAGACAACCTCCATCTCGGCTTAAACTAAAGGAATATCTCGCAGCTGGTGAGGAATGTGGTAGTCTGCAGGTATTAATAATATTATGTTTCTTGTTCTGATGATTTTATGCATAGTTACGGTAAAACACAAGTCGAATCAGTCGGGGCCATAACAATTAATTGGACTTGCGCAAAGTATCAGTTACAGGCAAACTTGCATAAGTCATATCATATACAATTTAATCAGTAATCTGCACATGCATGCCTCAGAGCAGCTGGTAAGTGTACTTGTGACGGATCAAGACTTTTTCCTGCGATTCAATGCAGCTGTTAAGTGTGGTAGCGGCATGATGAATTAAGAGATGATTTGCAGAGATTTAAGATGTATCTGGATCCAGGAAACCGATGCGATTTATTCAATTTATAAAATACAACTAGTGCAAAGAAATCTGTGTGCTTGATAGGGAATTGAATGGGACTCTGGTGCATGTATGACTTGGGCGATTATACGATTTATAATAGATAAGACTTATGCAAGTTTCACTATATGAAACTAACGTTTCCGTTAACTGAACTAAGAGGTGATCTTATTGATGTTTTCAGGATCCAAGAGGGTATAGATAAGCAGGACTACTGTAATATGTTCAGTACAGTGACAAATTCCACAACCAGGAGTTCAGGTCTCAAGGTCAGAAAAGAATGTGGACAGGCAGTTTAGACTGAAGAACTACTTTATACAGAGAATGAATATGTGGAACAGATTGCCGAGGAAGGCAATGAAGACAGATGGTGTCAAATTTCACAAAGGAATTGGATTAAGTATATTGTGGCAGTGGAAATTGGGTGTATGGGCAATAGCTTTCCACATTGTTTTAGAAAGTGGCACTAGTCAAAATGATAAAACAGTAATGATTATTTTTGGTAATCCTATGTAAAATAGATTTGCGCTAAGGGTTTTCTTCATATTGATTCATCTGAAGAAATAGAAAACAAAACAAAGAATAGACAACAAACTTAATTCGCGGATGACACTAAACTAGGTGGGAGAGTAAGCTCTGAGGATGATGCAAAAAGATTGCAACGGGATATAGATAGGCGAGGAGAGTGGGCGAGTAGGTGGCAGATGGAATTTAATGTGGGGAATTGTGAAATTATTCACCTAGGTAGNAAAAATAGAAAAACAGATTATTTTCTAGAGGGGGAGAGATTAGAAAGTGTTAGTGTGCAGAGGGATTTGGGTGTCCTTGTATACCAGTCTCAAAAAGTTAGTTTGCAGGTGCAGCAGCAACTAACAAGACGAACGGCACGTTAGCATTCATTGCAAAAGGTTTAGAGTACAAGAGTAGGGAAGTCTTGCTGCAACTGTATAGGGCCTTGGTGAGACCGCACCGAGAGTATTGTGTGCAGTTTTGGTCTCATTTAAAAAAGGACATACTTGCCCTAGAGGGGGTGCAGCGTAGATTCAATAGGTTAGTTCCTGGGATGAGGGGACTGATCTATGAGGATAGGCTGAATAAACTAGGGCTATATTCTCTAGAGTACAGAAGAATTAGGGGAGTTCTTGTTGAAACATATAAGATTCTTAAAGGGCTGATAGGTAGAAACTGAGGGTCTGTTTCCCCTGGTAAGAGAATCTATAACCAGGGGTCACAGTCTTAAAATTAAGGGTCAGCCTTTTAGAACAGAGTTGAGGAAACATTTCTTCACTCAGAGGGCTGTAGATGCTCAGTCCTTGAACATCTTCAAGGCTGAGACTGATAGATTTTTAAAAAACAGAGGGATTAGGGGAAATGGGCATAGGGCAGGTAATTAGAGTTAGGTCTGAAGATCAGCCATGATCTTATCGAATGGCGGGGCACAGGCTCGAGGGGCCAAATGGCCTACTACTGCTCCTAATTCTTATGTTCTTAACAGTAAAGCAACACATTTAAATGTGTAATCTTTGTGTTATGGTATGAGAGGGTGGAAAGGCGGATCAGGTAGAGACATTTTTGTTTTGAGATTCTTTCCAGTGATTGAAAGAGCAGCAGCTTCTGCCAGTGGAAGTCAAATTTAGGAAAGTTAAAAAGGGCCACATAGTTCTGAACAAACTGCATTTTTCAAGGGTAATTTTATCAGTTGAATTAACTGTTTTGCCCATAGTAGTTATCGGTTTGAGGAATGATTAGTTTATCAAACGTAGAGTTATAATACCTTTTGATTTAATCCTAGTTCTTATAAGGCAGATAAGTAATTAGTTAACACTTTCATTTTAATTTTCATCGCAATAATAAGGAAGGGGAGGAGGAGGAGGAGGAGAAAGAGAAGCAGAAAGATCCTATTGAACAATCCGAAGCTCTATGTCTTCAGAGTAATGCATGCTCTTTGCAAGCTAATGAAGAGAACACGTCTGTTAAGGAGGAGCCATTGGATGAAAAATCTGATATGGAGGCGAGCACAACCAGCCTGCTCGATCAAAGCTCATCTACATCACCTTGTTCCTCTCCAGCTCACAAGGCAGTCAATGAGAGTAGCACAAGTTCAAACCAGTCTCCTTCCAGAAAAACTTCATCTTCAGGTTCTTCCAAATCATTCCTTAGAAACATAAAGAAACGAGAATCAAAAGGCAAAGGAAAAGAATCCAAAGGTAAGCAACTTTAAGTCATTGCTGTTTGTAAGGAAACTTTTTTTATGAGTATCTTCAGAAATTCTAAGAATATTATTTAACAATCAAGGCTCTTGCCTTGTGTATTTGATAAAAGTAGATTAAATTTACATGTACTAGCATTTTCCAGTTTGTAAATAATAAATATAATTAATTTCTTCTGAAACTTCAATATTAATTATACAATTTAATTGTTTCTCTTAGGAGCCATTACTTCTAATCTTAATTCCCTGCTTTCTCCCCATACTCTCTAATATCCTTCTTCTCAACATGCAGTCCAATTCTTTTTTTAAATGCCCCATTCAACTGCTCTTAACAGCTACCCTGCAAATGTATTCCATACCCTGATGATCCTCTGGGAGTTCTCCTGAGCTTCTCCTTTTACCTTTGTCATAATCTGTTATCTCTTCAAAGAATTCAATCAAATTAGTCAGGCACAATCTACCTTTACAAGACCAGGAAGGGTATTCCTTATCAGTTCCATTTTTTTAATGTTCCACAACAACATCTCTTATTGTGACCTCAAATAGCTTCCTCAAAACTGACAGACACACCAACCTATGGTCTCTGGCTCTTTCCTTTTCCTTTTCTTAAACAACAGAGTGACTTTTGGCACTCTCCCCTCCTCTGGGACAAATGGCATATCTACAGACTTCTGGAAAATGATTGTCCGAGCTTCCATTATTTCATCATCGACTTCCCTCTGGATTCTTGGACACATTCTGTCGGGATCTAGTGATTTATCCACTTTAATCCCCATTAGCCCTTTTTAACTGCTACGTGTCTTATTTGTTCTTCTATAGTCCCTTATGGTATTCCTATGTTACTGATATTCCTGTATTACCAATATCCCCCTCCTATGCAAACACTGAGGCAAAATATTTATGAAACATCTCTGGCATAATTAGCTTGCATTTATATTGCAATTTTCAGGGAAAACGAAACAAAAGAAGTAGATGTTTATTTGGTTTATATCCTGCTACCACCTTCCTCAGTCTGCAGTGGCCTCACTCCTTCCTCAACTATCCTCTTAACATTATTAGTTACCGTGAATCTGTTCTGCTTTGTCATAATGTATACTATCCGGTTTAGGACTCTCTAACCATATCTTTTAGACGTAAATAAAAATGACATTTGTGTAGTTTTATTTATTTCAACATGTTGTAACTTTTTTACCAATTTATAATAATCCTTGATTTATTAAAATATTAAAATAATCCTTGATTTATTAAAATCCTTGATTTTGATATATTATGTCATCAACTCGTCTAAAGGCACTCCGCTCAAAGATTTCACTGAAATATTTGTAGTCATATGTGACCGCCAATTTGCTCACTGTAATGTCCAGTAAATAACAGTGAAATGAGTGGCCAATTTTGTTCCTTTTCCTCAGAAAATAGTGTGAGAAAGGAGTTGTATGGAGCAAGAAGAGAATTTTAGAAATTTTCTTTTGATTTTTCCTTAAAACCATGGCAATTTGATTGATTCAAACTCAGTTTAGTTTGTATTCACTGCACCTCTTAACTCTCGATCTCCAGATTTTTGTCAAATTTTATTGTTTTTTTGTTTGCCCTTTGACTTCAACACCTCTATGCTTGAAGCATCATTTCAACATTACATATTAGCTTGTGTAAATTTATATTGACAGATGGGAAGAAAAGTGAGGAAAAGTTGCCTGATACAAATGAGAATCCAGCAGGCAAAAACAAGCGAAGATTTGCTGATTTTAGGTATGATTTTCTTTTGTATAGAAGAAAATTTCTCTTTCATAACATCTCTTATTAGGTATAGATATTACTTTCAAGGATGTCTTCAATGTTAACCTATCTAAGAATAGCAATAATAATCCTTGCATTTGATGTAGCACTTTTTACATCTTCGAGATGTCTCAAAGCATTTCATAGAATATATTGAAAGTGAATTGACTGTATATTTGTGGGTGAAATGCGGCAGTCAATTGCGCATAGCAGTGTCCCACAAACAGTTGTGGATTGAGTGACAAAATTATTATTGTTTTTGCTTCTTGGAGGATTATTATCAAGCGTGTGGAGTAAGGAAACTTGCCCACGATTTTGCCCTACCGGGAATCTAACCCACTGAGCTACAGGACTCCACTGTTTAACTGGCAGAAATGGAAATAGTATTGTAGTAATATATTCAAACAAAAAGTAGTGTTTTATAAGTGCTAGTAGAGATATTTTTGAACAAGTACATCTTTGTTTCACCTCAAACAAATCTCATAATAGAACAGGTATGCCTGAGCTCAAATAAAAAAGAAAAATAGAAAGATAGAGGAGCAAAGGGGTCTAGGGATTCAGATTAAGCGATTTTACGATTTCTAAAGATAAGACTTGTGCAAGTTTTATTGTATTGGTATTACAACATATTGATACTCTTGTCACAGATTACCAAGTGTAAGTGCCTGTGTGCAGTACATAAGGCTAACAAGAAGTGTTAATTTTTGTAACCTTTTAGTAGAGGAAAAACACTTTCATGCTGTTTTTACATCAAACATTTGAGAATTTGCCCATCTAGCTAGAAAATAGTATGTGAAATAGGGCCTGAAATGGGGAGATGATTACCATTCAAACGTTCTTAAATCTGAACTATTAATACAATATAAGTTGATCTGCAGACATTGTGAACATTACTTCTGTCAGTCTTACCTGATTTTCCCTCTCTATCCATCTCTTTCTCCCAATTTTCACTTTCAATGAAGTGGACTAAGAAAATCCGGTGGAAAAGGCAAGAAATTAGATAAAGAAAATCGCAGAACTTCATTTGATAGCAGGTATTTGTTTTTTAAATAATTTTGCTCTAACGTTTCAAAACTCATACGCGTAATACAGTAAGTGAATGTTAAAAACTGTAAAAGTATAGCCCGATGGTCAAGGTCCTACATAATTTCAGTAGATTTGTTTTGTAGGTAACTTAGAATTGGATCCTCCTTGATTATTTGAGTACAAGCTCATCAAACATTTTGTTTTGAGCAGTCAGGGGTGTGAATAGAAAATCTATTTTATTTAATATGCTTGCTTGTCACTATAACTGTTCTTTTCTTGTATATGGCAGGGGATCAAAAGATATGCTGGACATCTCAGCTGGTAACTTATCTCCTGCGGATTCAGTGACATCCATACCGACCTGCATGCCTTTTTTTCGGTTTGGGGACAGTCATAAGGATCCTGCATCTTCCAATAGCAGCCTTCACTCACCTCCGAGTTCACGTGAAGCAACTTGGGAACAGAACAAAAACACAACAAAAACTGAAGTGAGTGAGCAATTGCTATTTGTCCATTATGACAATGAAAGATTGAATTTCCTGCTACAGCTTTGTAAATCAATAATTCTGTGTTAATGGTCTTGGTGCTCTCTGAGATGTTTAGTGCTTCATTGTAGAACTAGGAGGACACTATTAGGACTGAAAGGAACTACAGGATGGCTATGTAGTACACCTGTTTTGGAAGGTTAGTCCGTATGAACATTATTTGGAACCAGCACATTGAGGGAATCCGATGATATCATGAACATTAAAGTTGCTTATTGTAAACGTTTGTTTTATACTGCAATAGTAATGTTATTTTCAGAGGTAAAAAAATATAATGTGCTATTGCCTTTGGAGGGTGTTTTTGAAACCATTAACTGTCTATTCTAAGTCCTGATATTATGATCTTTCACAAATTCCTGCAGCCAAAAGGTTAGACCACCCTGACATAGGTGGTGCTGGATGTGCTGTTCTTATGTTTGGGTCAAGTAGTATCGTTGGGTAAGGAAAGCTTTACTTCGATTTTGGAAGTCAACCTGGGAAACGTGCAATTCCCCAAACCAAAGCTTCAAAATTAAGGAGTTCGGTAACTCGAATGTAACTCGTCTACAGAATGAAACAACAATATACTAATTCTCGTTTTTATTTTTCTTTACCAAATAGACGCTGGAAGATGAACACACAATAACCGGTAAACAAAACCAATGGCAAAACCGAGCTATTTCTGAATGGACGTCCCAACAAGTCAGTCACTGGTTGATGGGAATGAATCTGGAGCAATACATTGCAGAATTTGTTGCGAAAAACATTGATGGAGAACAACTGATGCAGTTGGACAGCAATAGACTTAAGGTACAGTAATAGATTCTTAGTCAAAAAAAATTTTTAAATATGAAGCGACAAATCTGGAAATCCTGGCTCAGTTCACCACTTAGGAGGGACATTGTAATCGGCTTCAATAACCCCGGACAAGCAGGGAATACTGTGTACATTAATATTTTCAAGCACTTTGAGACTACCTCCCAATATGTGAAGTGCTAAATATATTCAAGTAAATTGTTGCTGCCATGCATTGTTTTTCCCATCGAGTGTAAAGAGCCATTACCCCTTCACACAACTAGTTTTGTTTTTAGAAGTATCACAGTCAAATTGCACAGTCTGCTGACTGCATTTTCTACAGAATGAAATCAAATATTGGAATTTATTGCAACTATTTGATGACTTACAGGCCTTAGGTGTTGACAGTCACAATGATCGTTCCATAATCAAGAAAAAGCTTAAAGAAATGAAGAAAGCACAAGAAAAAGTAGAAAAGCAACGAGAGAAGATTCAAAAGAAAGAAAAGTCTTCAAAGAAAGCTAGTAAAAACTGACCACGTCTGTCGAATCAAATTGTTGAATGAGATTTCAATTTTGAAATTGAAACAGCACAAATATTTTGAGCAGTTGTGCTACTTAAGCATTGTATATTGTATAGTTTACAGTACAGTCAATTCAGAAAGAACGTCAATTTGGCATGCATGTGTTTTCAGTTTGACATTCATTTCCTGTTAGACGTAAACATATGATGCATTTTCTAGCTTACACTTCAATTTTACACATGGCTTTAAGTAATTTTCTGTACATATTGTCAAATACGGTTTTCTGTACCTTAGGATTTCAAATCCCACTATATAGAAGTAATAAATAAAATATTCCTATTTTAATAATGCCCATCTAATGCCCATCAGACTTCCCTAAAATACCTTAATTCCTTAGAAAGGTATAAAAAGTGTCTTGAGCGTTTGAATGTGATGATAACTTTCTCCAGGAAAATCCACACTACCAGAAATTGATGTACAGAATGTCAGAATAGGGTACAATATTCTAAATAGTTTTGAATGTATTATATCTGTGGGGGTACATGGCTCCAAGGTTTAAAGTACATAATTCAAAGGGATAATATTGCTTAAAAAAAGGAAAAGTTTTTTACTTGCAATGTGAACTGTATACCATTACATTTTTATAATTCTAGCTTTTGAAATCCATTGCATAAAACAGGGGAAGGTTTTCTGTGTATATTCTCTGTTCCTGACCATTAAGTTAACAATATGGACCATTTTTTTATTTCAAGAGTGGTTGGGGAGTGATGACAAGATCTCAGTGACAGTATATTCTAATAACACTCTAAACCACTAGAGCCGAACTTGTGGGCTTATTGTCATTTGAAACCTGATTTGAGATTATTTTCATTGGCATCACTCTCACTGACCTATTATTTTTGATAATATTTATAGCTGTGTTATTTCTATGGTGCTTTGTTTTCAGTTTTGAGTTTCAATAACCCTGCCCACCAGTCTATTTGAAGCATTTTTTAAAAAAAACATGATTTTTTTTCCAGAAGGCCATGGAATTTGTTTTGTACAATTCTTCAGTGGACGTGGATATAACTTGTAGTATTTTCTTGCATTTTCCTCATCTTTCCTCCAGTATATTATATCGAAAGCTAAGTCACACAGTGATGTTTATTTACTTCACTCTATTGCCTGTTTGGTCAGTAACTAGCTTCCTCTTTTCCCCCTTTACAAACTTGATTCTATTTCAAAATTAGTGCTTCTAATTAATCCCCATCTAACATGAAGTGTTTTCAAAAGGTGTTTAAAAACAAACTCTTCACGACAAAAACATTCTTTTTTACCTTTCGTTTTATTTTCCAATTTTTTTTAAAAACACGAGTAGAAGAGACTTAAGTAAATTTGAAAAACAAATTCAGTTTTGCCAACAATAATTGAAAAAATGTACCGTCCATGTTTTTGCTCCTAATTTTTTTTAGATAAAACTGAAAACAAAGATCTATTTGTAACCTTAAAGAATGAAGTCTGGCCCATTGTTTCTGAGTGAAAAACAGTCTTGGACAGAGGCTTGAGACCATCAGAAGCCTAGATGCTCGCTTCAGTTGACATGATGATTGCCTTACTGAAAGATTACCAATATCATTAACATTTGTTCATATATTTGAATTGAATTTGTATTATTGCAACAATATGCTTGGATCTTGGATCCCATAAATATCTTTCAACTTTTGCCAAAAATCTTCACTGGCCATCATTGCAATAACCTCTGGTATTCAACGCACGCTGAGGTCACTTAAGCTTCCATGCAATTATTGATTCAATCCCTCAGTAAAGAAGCTTTTATTGTAAGTTTCACTGTAGTTGTGTTGTGTAGTATGCTTCCTGCTTCAGGTTTGGCCCAGCGCCTAAATAGAGCCCCATGGTATTGATCAAATCCAAATTGTTTAGCCACTGACATTGTGTCTAATTTGCCTACATTAATCTCAATCAACACTAAACTATACTGGTTCAGGTCCCCAAATACTTCAGGTGAGTAGTCAGCTGTCATCTCTGATAATGTTGAAAGAAGGCTTTATCTGTGGAATACAGGGTACCCGCATCAACTAGAAGATTAATGCTGCACTTGTTCCTGCCCGTTCCACAGCTCACTTGACATGCATTGTACCAAACTATGCATATCACTACTGATAAAATGTTAATGCTTGCAGCTTGTTTATTTGTAACTCACTGGAAATGTCCATCAACTGACCTATGGTCTATCTGATTTCATCTGGGTGTTTTAAGACAAATGTCCATTGAAAAATTCTTTAGTATCATTTTATTGGTTGGTAGATATTGATTTTCTAACAAATTTATGCCTCGTTCGTTTTATTTTTAGCCCCAAGCTTGTGAAATGTTACTATACAGTGAGTCTTATGAGGTGTGTAATGAAGAAAGTGAGGCAGCAAGCAAGAGAGGTCAGAAATTGGATGACTAAGCCAGGCTCAATCAAAACTCTTTTATATAAGGAGGACCAAGGAATGTTTCTGGCCGCAATGCTTTCAACTTTTGACTTCAGAAGTAAATTGCCTTGTGTCCCTTTAGCTTTGAGCTAAAATGAATGAACAAATCATTGGTTTTGTATGTGTGTATGTATATATTTTGGGATTCAGAAATGTAGGCTGCAGGAAGATTGTGGGAAAGGAGAACCTAGACTGTATGGGGAAAGTGGGAGATGGAAGCTTAATCTATATGGAGGCAGGAATTTGGGCTTGAATGCAGAGGGCAGGAGAACAGAAACTTGTGTTTTAAGGAGAGAGAGTAGGAGATGGGAACTCTGGCTAATATGAAAGGTAAGAAACAGGAATTTAGGCTGTATGAGACCACAGGAGGATAACTGAGTTGTTGGCAAATTGGGCTGACTACGCATCTACAGAGATGAGGCAGAAAGTTCTCAAAAATGAGTCTGGTGATGGAGGGGAGAAAGAAGCAGACAGGCATTGATTTGTAATCTTGATACTGCTTCAGAATGAATTCCCACTAATGTAAATAACAAAACTAACTTCGGAAATATTATTGCACTTAGGTTACATTTTCAAACATAGGCCATCAGAGAGAACAAAGTAATTAAACCCCAAAATATCAAAATCATAAAAATTCAAAATTGCAACACTGGCAGGAAGTTACCAATGGCTGATATAAAATGGCTAATATCACTCTTGTTAATGATTGTTTAAACAGCTTTTGTTTACTCCTTTACAGCAGAAAATGTGGAAAAACAGCCACATGCTGTTTTTCCACATTTTCTGCTGTAAAGGAGTAAACAAAAGCTGTTGAATTACGAAACTGGTCAGATTTGTTTTCATTTACTCGTTAATGCCTAACTAAGTCTTGTGTTTTTTTTTACATGTCTGTTTGAACTGATGATTCTTTACAAGGCCTTAAATTCTTTGAAAACTAGTTTAGAGTTGGTGAAATTCTTTGACATAGAGCTTGATCCATATTTTATTCTCCTCTCAGATAGGAAAAGACTTAAGATCACATTGAAGATTTTTGTCCAAAAAAGTTTGCTTAATTTATGGAGATAAATATACCTAATTTGCCACTTTATCTGCAACTAGCCCCTTTTTGGATTGAAAATGTTGTAATTTGTTCTATTGTTCCTTGATTCTGTATAAATGAAAACCAGGCTTTTATACCTCTTCATGTAATTTTTTGTTTGGACAGAAAATCATATTGCCATGTAATGTGTTTCTGAATGGGTAATCAATTGTGTTAATTCACTAGGCAAGATAAAGCCTTGTTCTACTCACGCTGTAGTTAAATCGAGACCAACAGGTTCTCATCACAATATCCAAAAGGCATGTAAATGCTTTTGGAAATAAAACTGTCCTGTTCTGCCCACTAAAGTGTTTTGTTTCTGTGCCTCATGTTGCCCTCAAAATTTAGTATATACTGTAGTTACTATACCTCCCTTACTGTATTATTTGGATAATTATTTGTACGAGGACAATTAAATTACTAACTTTTTGATGGTCTTCCTTTCTTAAGTGTAGTTCACCCTCACATGTAAAGTTCCTTTATTAGTTCTCTGACATGGAAGGATTGAAGCTAAATCACGTTGTGTATGCTTTATGCCAACTTGGTCTGATCTGCCTACCTCCATAAAATAACTGAGAAATCAGAGGATGAAAATAGTTGAAGAGACAGTATTTAGTTTGAAGAATGAAATGTGTTCAAAGAATGAGGAAGAGTGTTCTGCATTTACTTAACATTTCTATCATGCACTGTTTGTAATTGAATCACTACACTTGATGGTGGAATTGGTAATTATTTTATACGTTTTCTGATTCACACTCCACTTGTACAATCCTGCTTTTTTAATCAATGTAATACTCCATAAATGTATTTTAATGCCAATTACAGAACTTTTAATTCTATTTGTATTTGAGTTTTCTTTTGATGTGTTTGGCAAATAAACTGACTAATATTGAGCAGCTTTAAATCTTTTAACCAAAATAAATAATACATATGTTAAAGTACTAAATTGGTAAATATTAATACAAGTAAGGTATTGGAATAATGCAACCTTAATTGTATATTTGAGTGTCTCAAAGACATCGTAACATTTCAACAAATTCAGAGTGGATTTAGTAGAAATAAAAAATGCTCAATCTGAAATAAACAGACATCCCATCAAGATGGTTCATGCAATGGAAAATATATTTTCTTTCATGTATTTTTGTCTGTATCCAATCTTTATCCTTTCCACGCTGGCAGGAAGTCCTCTGGTCTTGATTAATATATGATTGTATTGGCTGCAATACTCAGTGCAGAAAGTAAAATATTGCAGTTCTGGGTAGTGCCACCTGGAGGCTTAAAGGTCAGTAGATTCATACAGTATAATGTAGATGTTTGCAGTGCCGCCCAGTGGTACAACAATATAAAGTTCAGAATATTTGCTGGTGTGCGGTTACCTTGGGAAGATTGATGTAACACTTTTGAAAACCACACTCTTTGATCCAAGTGGAACACGTACTTTCCCACCCTTTCTCCATATCCTGTATTTCCCCACAGCTCTCCTTTATAAACAGACAATTATGTCTGCACTATCTCATTTATGCTGTAGTATTAAAATATTTAATAGAATGCCTCAAAGGGGACTATTAATTGCAGTGTTATTGTCCTTCTGTCCACCTGATTGTGAAAGAGGTGAACAATATATTTGTATGGAGTTATCCAGGTTCACAGACGCCATTCTTAGGATTGCGTAAAATAAAAAAAACTAGATATTTCAGATTCTCTTAACTTCGAGAGGGGAAATGCATCAAACAAACACATCCACACCCATCAGTGGCATTGTTCTGATTTGATCTGTTTTTCCTGTCCCACAACAGAGAGATCAAAATCAGATTAGATACTGTGCAACAGATGACTGGATTCATGATTGTAAATGTATGTAAAAAGTTGGATTTCCTGTTTAGGTTGTACGTAATTGAAATGCGGATAAGGTTGTGATGATGCTGTGGAAAATGCAAAATTCTAAGATGAGAATGATTATTTACTAAAGAACAAGATAAGGCCAGATTCTTGCAGGGAATGGTAAGATATTTTGCATCATCTACATTAGAATTAAGTACAATTGAAAATGTATTGTAGCTGAATGACTTCAGTAAAATCAATTGTTTTACTAGGACATCTAGTGTTGGCCAAAGATGTTCTTCACTTATAAAAATGTCCTTTATCCTATGGCATAGTTCCTCTTTCCCTACCCAACTCCTGAGTTGCTAATGAAATGCAGTAATTATTCAAACTAATTACCAACATTGTTATCTCCCAAGTGAGTGGCCTCTGATTTGCATGATCCACTGGATAACACAATTTGTGATGCAATACGCAAGGCTTTATGCTTTCAGAAAGTCCTCAAACATTTTGTGATAGCAGTGCGAGGTAACTAAACTGACAGCATCCTGACAAACAGTGTAACGTTAAGTCTGTCTCCATTTTAAAACCTTTCCCAATCCATTCTTTTCATTTATGCCAAACCTACATGCAGTATCTTCTTCAATTTCTTTTTCTCTATTGCTGTACTAGATTGAAGTTGTTAACAACAACAACAACAACAACAAGATTCCATTTATAGAGCGCCTTTCACGTCAGGAGGACGTCCCAAGGCGCTGCGGCCTAGCTTTGCACTATTCCGTGAAGCGCTTTCAGACGTCTCAACAACACAAGTCACTATATCAAATGCAAGGATTATTATATATAAATGTAAAGATTATTATCATTATTATATTTAAATGTAGCAGAACAAAAGCACATTGGAGCCGAGGAGTGATTTTCAAAAACAAAACTAAATATGCCCTTCAGAAAGAACCAGATTTTCCTCTATTCACTCTATATTGGCAAGTTCTCAACATCATACAGTGACACACAAAAAAACAGATCACAGGACCCTGTAATCCATTTAAAGCCTAAATGTATTAGGTTTATCTGTCATGGGGCTTGATACCGAGGCAAAACAAAAATCGGTTTCTTGGAAATGGATTTGTGTAAAAGTAAAGGGAGGAGTGGATTGTGTTGCTGAGCAATCTCACCACATGGTAGCATAAATATTCCAGCTGGAGCCCTGGTCATTGTTTATTCAGCTCTAGATTAATACCATCTAAAAAGCCTGGCCTCTGGAGTGCTAGGCTTCTATGTCAGGGAGTTGCTGGAATGCACATTTTGGCAACTCGTACTAATTTTCTTCCCAAAACGTGCTCTTCCCAACATAGACCCGGTAGTGTGAATGAAGACCAATCTGTTTGATAAGATTTCAGTTATGCGATCTGAATAGCTGTACACAATGAAACAGCTTCAGCTAATAGAAAGCTCAGCATTTGACATTTTAAACTTGGCCCTTCTGCATTTTAACAAGAAGCATTGGACGCCCTCCAAATATTAAATCAGTTGGTGCAGACTTGCACACATTCCCTTCGCAAGAATTTACATGCAGCCTGTCAACAGAGTCCTGAAAGCATCCGTCAGAGACTCTGAACTTACGAGAAATATGTAAATAGTTCCTCAATAAAAATAGATATTAATAAATATTTCAAATTGGTCCAACGAGAAAAATGTACAAAAGCTTTTGAAATTGCGCTCCAATGTAAACCTACCATTGCTACAGTTTAGATCATTGATCACCTGGAGTTAGGCATTTTGAGAACTACAGATTTATTTTCTAATTCTTTCCAGACAATTTTGTGGGTGAAACCCGGCAGCCAATTGCGCACAGCAGTGTCCCACAAACAGTCGTGGGATTGAATGGCCAAATTATTTTATTTCCTCTTCGTTTACAGATGCCAAGACTAATGATGTGAACCACTTCTTTGGGGGGGGATAAAAACAGAATTACGCCCAAGTTTTTGTCATATATGAAAGAGAAGTTAATGTTGTTGAGTAATAATATTAATTATGGCCAAAATGTTAAACTTTTTTCCCCAGATACCGGTTGACCTATAAGTTTCCAACATTTTGTTTTTTTAGTCTTATTTTTATGCCATCTGCAGTTTTCCTTTTATTAATTCCAAACGGCATGTCATGCTACGTAAAGAAATGGGCTTCACAAGTATTTCCTTAACTGTGCTCCCTCTTCTCTCGCTCTTAATATTTACAGGTCACTTCATGATGATTATTATTGGTGGGCATAACTACAGTATCGTAAAACTATCATCTGCTTACCAGACATCACTAAACCAAGAAAACTGCACTGAACCACATGTTTTTTTTAAAAAAAACAAAAGTGGAGTTTCTAATTCGGTTCAACTACAATAGTAACCGCATTTAACCCAACAATTTCATATTCAAAACCGCTGTTTCTCTGTGTTCAAATGCCTTAAATTCAAAGGGCAGCAATGGATTGGTTTTGTAGTGTGACACGCCACACATAAAGGGAGACGGGAAATACTTCCGACTTCGTGGCGCAAAAGTCCTGAAGGTAAAATTGATTCTTCACATTGTAGCTGCGTGGAGCAATGCTGTCCACAAAATGGCTGCTGCGGTTCGCCTACAAAATAAATCCTGTGAAACGCTTTCAATAATGGGATAACGTCAAATTACAATACAGGGCCGAGAGTGCTAGAGCTGGCCATTTAATCCCAAGAACGCAGGTTCAGACTTACAACCACTGCATCGGTAAATTCCTTATCGCAGCCCCGCCATTCTCTGACTGAGGGCCAAGTGCTCCTTCACAAGCAGGAACAGAACACTAAGGTGTGTCACTCTGAACCACTTTGGCAATTCTTCCAGCAGTCAACTGAAGCGAGAGGAGCTGCTCTCTGGTTTATTTCTCAGCTGGGTTCTACTGCACAACATGGGGGAAAAAGTGGAAAAGAACGTAACTTTCAAATGATAGAATAACACAAATAAATAACGATTTATATCCACTAAAGCTGAGCTTTATAGAAGGTATTGAGCTTTCAATAACTTCGCTCTCAATAACTTTGAATTAATGATTTTTTGATGGACAGTGTTTTGTTCTTTTTCTCTCTGGCAATGTATTGAGATAAATTTACGTCCTAATATTATCAATATTCTTTTTCCTGGAATTAACTGTAATGGGATTGTTTTAGGAGGTGCTGTTTTAGATTTTGATTTTGCTTTTTTTAAAAAAAAATTACACACCAAAAGTTGTTCATTCTGCATTTTGTTAATCTCTAATTATTGATTATGGCACTACTGAAAACTCCATTCAGCACTCACTGCTCCAGTGTTAACCGCAAGAAAGGTTTGTGATAATGATATTTCGAGTAAAATTAAATATTTGCTGAACCAGGAAACAGCGATATGCTTTGCACTACAAGACTGGGAGTCAATTGCATTGCTAATTGTAGGGTAGAATCCAAGAGATCGGCCACCCTTGTTCACAAAGCAAATTTACATTTGTTGTGGGTTAGAGGACATACAAATATAACAGCCATTGTACAGAATATCTAACGCTGGTAGATTTTATCCAAAATATTAAATTAGTCCAATTATAAAGATGCAATTTAGACATTATATACAGTGGTCTACTTAGGTTTGAACAGCGTGTTCCCACAACAAAGCTGTTTGAAGTATAATGAAATTCCAGACATCGGGGTGGGCGTTCAATCATTTGACGCTGGAACACTCCAGGGCTTGGAAAAGCTCTCAGAAACCTTCTATGCTATCAGTTCTGAACCTGCTGAACAGAAGATGCTCTTGGCAGGTTGTCTAGTAAAAAAAAAAAGGCTTTCTTTTGTGACACTTGCCGAACGCCCAAGTCAACGTGAACATAAAGGACGTCCTTTCACAGGTAATTTCAGATCCGAAAATGCAATGTCAAAATAATTCAGTTTCTTTCCTTCCATAAAACAATCACAATGCATGTTGCAGCTTTCTCTGTGCAGGAGCTGCGGCTGATCAATTTTTTTTTCTAGAAGTCAGAATTTCGTAGAAGATTTGCTATTTTCAATGCAAGCTTAAAGTGCCAGCGCTCACACGTACCGCAGATGGGAAATTACTTTTCTGGTAGGTCTGGGTTTTCCGATTTCTATTTTCGTAGATTGGAAACGGCTTCTCAGTTGCAGTGTGAGAGGAAAGTTTGTATTACAAGAGAATCGATGATTCTGTGCTTAGCTGCACTCCGCCTCCTCTTGGTGGGGTGTGGTTTCACAGACACTATTTGTTACGTATAAGTCATATAAACTTATAGATAAGTTTACGTAAATCCTGTATAATACGACTTATGCAAGTTTCACATAAACTCATACATTGTATAAGTACCAGTTTCCCTCCGGTAGCTCGTCTGAGGTGGTAGGTCTGGATTTGTGAGCCGAGTAGTGAGAGTCCAGCCACCCATTCACACGACCGTGGAGGCTGACCTCTCCCCAGCCGGCTGCCACATACACAATCACCGTCAGGAGAGGGCGCGGAAAAAGGCTGAGAAGCCAGAGCCCGGACTAAGTTGACTCTCCCTGACTCCAGGGATGGCTCAAGCCCAGACAACCTCCTTTGTGCCACCTCGGCCGAGACCAGCAAACTCGCCGCAGACTGGCATTTGAACCAGCCAGTTGTTAGCTCGCAAGATGCAACTCAACTATCATACAGCAAACCTCACATAAGTCGTATCAGTTGGGACCAAACAGTCAATATGACTTACGCAAAGCATGAGTTTATGTCAAACTTGAATAGAATCTCTTGAACGGGGACTTTAGGCAATGATACGATTGATTACAGATCAAGACTGATGCCACTGGAGGGTTCCCGGATTCTGTTATGTTTAAAATTCATGTGGTGTTGAACACAATCCTTTTCAGCACCTGGAATATTGGTAACTAGGGAGAGATGTAATACATGAACATAATACATATTCTGTGGAACGTTAAGTACCTTTTTTAATGCAGGCTTTTCAAATTATGTTGACAATATTTTTTGCTCTGCTGGCTGCCCACAAATGTGGGGTGTTTCCAAGCACCAGAGGGAGCTGTGCTGCACAATAATTATCATACGATAAATAGCACACAGATTGCCCTCAAGAGACACTGAAGCCAAATTACAACACTTCCAGTTGTGTGAGGCCAGCTGGAAGCTCAAACCAAAAGGACGATTGAAATATGAAATGTCAGCAAAATCAGCTGAAAAATGTTTTTTTTCCCCCATTAATGATGCCACCCTGGCATGAATGATCAGCAAACATGGTTTGCAATTCCCTGTACGTTTGCAATTGATCAGTTCAGCCAGCGACCATGTTCACGGGAGCTGTAAATACGAAAGGACAATAGAAACAGACCACGCTTTCTGAAACTTATCTGGGGTTTTGTGCTCCTTCCATCTCATAGTATGTAATGACAGAAAATACTACGCACTTCATTCCGCTGACCAATGTTAACTATATTATGTGGCACAGCAAATAACTGCATTTGTTCCGAGAACAGGTCATACAGTGGACAAAGTGCACCTGAAGTTGCTGTTCATAAACTTAGGAGCCAGGTAAATGACATGGTCAGTCTATTCACTTGTGGCCACAAACAAAGAATGTTATGCTAAGATTTCCAATCGCGAATTTCCGTTCCATTTAAGTCACAGCAATCCATACAAAAATGCACAAGACACAGTGAAATTAATAAAAAAAAACACATTTATTTCACTTTAAAAAATAATCACAGACCAATCTAATTTTTGTTTAGAAATTATGATAATAGGGTCATAGAATTGAGATGAATGTTAGATTAATCTACATTTGTGATCAGAAAATTGTCTCATTGTCTATTGTGTCAATTACTACTATTCCTTAATGAAAGTACGACACTATTATGGTGCAGACAACAATTCCCTGTAAATTATTTAGTTAGTTCCACAAACAATATTTGTTCCCACAATTTACACAGGAAATCTTGCAATGTTAGACAGTTGGAACACTCCTTACAGCAGAGGAGCTAATCCAGTTTGCAAATAGAAAATGTATTTCTGAACGGTTTCCCTTTTCTGGAGTGTAGGAATGTTCTCTGAATAGTTACACAATGGAATACATTGCATGAGATATTGGTAGTGATTAGCGATTTATTTTTAAAAAAATTAAAAATAGCACTCCAAAAAGGCAAATGCTTCCTTTAAGTATATTTTCTTCCAACTGCAAAGGCGGAAAACAAAGCTTTTTTAAAAAAATTGGATTGTAAGTTTTATTTGGGGGAAGACTAAAATATTGGCGGATCACATCAGTCAATCAGAGAAAAAAAAATTGAAATTCTAAATTAAAAAATTTGCCTGGTTTGCAGAATTACGAGGTGAAATATTATCACTTTATAAAGTTATATTTTATTCTCCTAAACAGCAAGAATCCACAGCAGTTCCACCTAGCGACTGAGTTGGAGAAAGGAATTACTGCACTACCGGTCACCACTGGAGCCGTAGCTTTTTTCACATATTTTGTGCTGTCATTTTCCTTATTTTAGACACATTTTTGTTTAACTCCAGAATATGTTGATATTTAACATTAGGCAAATTTCCTTACTCCACACGCCTCTGTCTAGCAAGTAGGATCCCGGTTGTTAAGTCAATCGGTGGATCGCTTTTCCGGGGTTAATAATCCCTTCAAAAAAAAAATTATTTGGTCACTCAGTCCACAACTGTTTGTGGGACACTGCTGTGCGCAATTAGCTGCTGTGTTTTGTCTACAAAATATACAGTCAATTCAATTTACAGTATATTTTGTGAAGCTCTTTGAGACATGATAAGGTGCTACATCAAATGCGCAGATTATTGTCATTATGGTTCTTGTTAAAGAGGAAAAAACATAGCTGTTCTGAAAGTACTAAAATGGTAAAATAAATACCAGGACATTCTAAAATATAATTATTTACAAAAATGTACATTTTTTCCAATCCCGGTTCAAAATGTTACCTGTCTTTGTGAACACACCAACTGGGCCCTAGCAATACTGAGGAACGTTTGTGAAAAGAAATTCAAATTAAATCGAATTACGTGTTCAACCATTGCACATCACTTCAGATCAAAATAGGCCTTGGACAAAATATTGATTTGAATGGTCAATAAAAGTAATATTCACAACAATATTCTAGAGCAGACGCTATTCCCGGTTCTGATTTGAGTATGCTTTGTTGGGCACTTGTTTTTTTAACAAGGCACGTCTTATGCGCCAAAGATTTTCAAACTAAAACATCACACACTCCAAAAGGCATTCTGAATGTACTTAAAAATAAGGCAGATAGACACACTGAGGGCTGTGCTGTGCAAAATAAAAGATTGCTGGTAACCAAGTTACTCTCTCCAAGAGGCCGAGAGAGGCCAATGCACAGTAAAGAGTCGACACACAGTAATGCAGTACCAGCAGTAACTTTACAGTCCTCAAGTTTCAAGTATATTAGGAATAAGACTCATTTTCTTGCCAAGTTGTCAGCCACTTTTTCTTGTCCGATTTCTGGTTACATTTTCTGTCTTCAAACGGTTCTCGCTCTTCTTTCCGGATCCGAACTGCGTGGTATCGTGGAACACTGTCATCATATCGGGAACGTTTAAAAAATCCACACTGTAAACAGCAGAGAGGAAATGGAACAATCAGCTGTTTATACGATTGCACCGTGAAGTTAAGCACAAAAACATTTAAATTTGTAGATGAGAAGCCCGAATAGCTAACACATCTAATTTTAAAGTCACTAATACTAAGGTCTACCATTTCTATTTGGGGAATAAGCGACGGTAACAGTCAACCCAGCAATCTGAAGCTCTGAATCACCACCTTGTCAACAATATTTTGAAACAAAATAAGTCCACAAGGTTTAAGTTAAAATTGTGATACTTTCCTGGACATTTACTGTTGGAAAAGAAATCATCAGCCATCAATTCTTTTCCATATATATTAGATGGGAAAAGGCTCGATGCAATCCTGGATAGCAAATTCATGTAATAGTTGCATTGGGATTAAAAGATCGGCCAAGATCTAGCAAATTGGGGGAACAGGCTTGATGGGCTGAATGGCCTCCTCCAGTTGCTGTATAGGAATCCTATGTTCCTAGAACCACTGACTCAAACAGCAACACAGTAAACCTGTAAAATGTTTCTTTCAGATGTAAACTCTAATTAACCTGTAAAAAAAACTTAAGAGTTACAGCTTCCACTTCCAATTGCCTGAGAGTGAGCACCATTTCCATGCAGAGAAAACCAGTAAAATCTACAGTCTTGTGCAATAAGTATTTGAGTCATTTATTGCAATCTGTAGAATTTACCATCGCCCATTCTTTGTCAAAGAAAAAAAATATATACGCGTTCAGGCATTAGAGGTCAGATCCTGAACTAATAGATTTGTTTCTATAACTTTACATAAAGTTCCGGCATTTTATTTAAGATAACGTCACCTTTATATTAAAGCAACATCAGAACACGTTTAGCGTTCCTGATTATTCATGTATGCGTTCGCAAGAGAAAGGTTAAATGAAGTGCTCAACTACCAGAAGGGAATTTGGTTAGGTGTTAATGCTGAGGCAGTTTGTTAGGTTGTGCCTGTTCTAAGCAAGATGAGAGTTAGCTGATGCCAAGCTCCGTACACCACTCCCCTCAAAGCCAACAATCTGAGACCAAGGGACTATTTACCAAATCAATGGATCAAGTAGATCAACATTATGCATCAGTGGTAAGTCTTTCTTTGTCAGACGGCTGAACATGGATCTCAGCTTTGTGATATCGGGCATCGTATGGGGAACCTTTTCTGTTTCTCCTGAAGAAACCGCACTACAAGAAAGCAAGTTGTTTAGTAATGTTTACCGGATATATTACAGGATTCAGTTACCTGGAAAGTTAACCAATTCTCATTGTTTACCTTCAACACATTCATACCCACGCAGACCAAACACACGACGTATGCTAAAATTGTTGCTGAGATTTCTCTTAATCCACTCACGTGTGGTTTTACTGGATGAGGACAAAAATCAAGATTTTCTCATTCATTTTCTGTAAGCTTCCTTTGGGTTCGCCTGTACAGACCAAGCTGTATGTCTTATATACGACAACAATAAAAAATTGCACTCATCTTGCGCCTTTCATATCGGGAGGATGTTCCAAGGTATAATCTGCAGACACTGACAGGGTCACTCACCTTCCACAATAAAAATATTAAAAGTGCCAACATCAGAATTCCTGCTAGAACAGCAACAAAAATGATCCACCAAGGAACTCCAAGATACTGGATTACTGTTTTTTCAGGGAATACGGTAACTCGCACCTGAAGGAGGAATTTAACAAAGATGCTACATAAATGGAAAGTTACCAATGAAAAGTTAGTTACCAATAGGTCATCAATAATGACAATAAAGAAATCAAACACAATCTATATGCAGTTGTTTAATTGCCTGTTTATTTTGTCTCTGTGTGTCGGTGAATTTACATTTTGAATTGAATTTAAATGAATCAAGTTACATTTTATGTGTTAAAAACTTGCATATTGACTGTTTTTTCCACATAGCCCCGAATTGTACATGCACAATTAAACTGTTTTCTCCCCAATGTAATGTTATCAAATTACCTCTGTTACTGCATTTTTAACCATCACGTTGTTGGCCTTGGATTCTACTACGATCATGGCTTTAACAATGATATCAAGGTAGTTCAGGTTTGAAAACTCCTGCAAAGCAAGAAAACCCCTTACGTAAATGTAAATGGAAGCATTTAATGTTAAAAAAAGAAAACACACTTTACATTTACATGAATTTGCTGATGAAATTTAGATTCCACTTTACCTCCAGGAAAGTACTGTTCCAAAGCCGAGAACGCAAAACCAGGACTGCACTACTGTCCAGACCTTTGAGAGGACAACTTATATTAATGCATGGAGCAGTTGAGTGTTGGTTACAATCCTAGAAAAAATTAAAATCAAATGAGGATTTGAACGAAAACAAAATTAATGTCAAAATGTTTTTAAGTATTGAAAGAGCAGTTCCACTTACCAGAGTTTTATATTTTCTTTTCTCTGAAAAGAAAGAGAATGTCCCTCTTGACTTCTCCTCTGATTCCACTTTGTTGATTTCCCTTTTTTTCCTGCTTTGTTTAAGTGATTCCTGAAATAGATTTTTTACTGAATGTGTAAAAATTACAAAAGCCTCACAACTTGTCAACCTTTTAAGGATACACATCAATCATTCCATTTTCAATATGTGGTCACTTTCACTGAAGTTTACGTTAATGCTTCATAGTCCATTGCGTCGCAACTTTGGTTTCATGTTTGCTGCTCAGTGCAGATTTTTGATTAAAAAGTAAAGAAAAGCTGTGCTTGCAATATTTTTTGAATCATATGCACGTCAAACACATGCAGTGCCCGGCACCACAAATTACCAACAGAGCAACTATTTGACTTTACAGGCTTATTTCAGTAAAGTCAAGTAGTTCAATAATATTGGAGTAAAACTTGCACTGTATATGTCCCAGTGGCGTTACTCATTTCATTTAAGCTATGACAACATTAAGAATTAATTACAGAATTAAGTACCTGAAGTTTGAGGCTATTGATTTCACTTGTGGGAGTGCAGACCACATTTTCTATGTCTTTAGAAGTAATTTTCATCAAATATAGTAGCCACTTTTTGTTGTTTATTTCCTTGGGCCACATAATGACTAAACGAGCATTATCCAGATTCTTAAGGGATTTTCCCAGGTTGATAATCTGTGGGAAACAAAATATTAAAGTGCAAACATGATATCTTTGATTATTATTAAATTAACAGTCCTAAACAGAATGATATTAGGCAAAGTTTCAAAATCCGAGGACTCTTAATGGACTCGTTTGAACACACATGGATTTTAAGATACTCCTGTACTTACTCTGAATTCATATTGAATCAAACTTCCTACATCCTCTTCAGTTTTCATAGCACTCTCGCCTGTGACTGAACCACCAAAGTATACCTGAGATGGGTTTGCAGCACTGTTGAAACACAGAGTAATTATCATTTGTGTTTCACTTTGAAACCTATTTCCTTTCTCGAAACTTGCATGTGAGAGTGCGCACACACACACAGAAATATAAATACAGATGATATGGATAGAAAGTTAGCAATGTTTCTTACCCAACTACAGACAGAAGCAACTCAATCACCACTCGTGCTTTAGCAATCACAGGGGTCAGGTTAGCCTGCTCGCTGGTCCTGTAAATGGAAATGCCAAAGTCTCAATCACAAAGTAACAGCTGAACTACAATGTTCAGGATACTCTTTTAATTAATCAAGAAACTAGAATGGCATAATTGACTGGAACAGCTGATATTGTGTGGTAGGACGAGAGTTCTCATCTACATTCCCAATTTCAGTAGAGGTCTGACACTCTCAGTGAGAAAGGATGCACCGAAGCCAGTCCTGGAGTGAAAGAATATTTCTTCCAGCAGCAAAGCAATTAATGATAGGAAGCGGGATTAACACTACCCACCGCTGACCACATATTGGCCGGGGCTGAGGAGAGTTAAGTATGCAAAACTCCAATATTACTTTCAGTATTTCCCCTGAAGACTCTTCAATAGATTCTTATAAATAAAGCGGTCCATACATGTACTAAGTTACCCTTACGTTTTCAGCTGTAGATTGATATCAAGGTGTCTGGTGTTCAGTGTAATTCCAGCAGTGCTCAGAATCAAATAAAAAGTAATCTGTATAAAAGAAAACACAAATCAGATCCATGTACGCAATTACAATTGCCCACTTTAGAAACATAAAACTACTATTAACAATAAACCTTACATATAATACAGTGCCTAAGATGTTTAAAGCTCCTCAAAGCATTCAACAGAAAATTACTGTCAATTATAGGAGCTGTGAATATGTAAGCAAAGGTGCCAACGTCAATGCTTTTGGTTTGATCCACAATGCATGTCCCAGCGCCCTGAGACGTCTTTTTGATGTGAAGGGCACTCGCACTGTACAAGTGTAATTTGTTGTTGTTGCTGTTGTATGTAATGAAATCTATTACAATCAAATGTTGACTTGAAATAATTTACCTTTGATCCTCTCTTTAAGGGGTTACCTAGATCACAAGTTGCTTGAGAGCCATTTTGGTTTGCTGAGCAAATTAATTGCTTGTCCTAATTTGAAACAAAGCAGATATTCAGTTGAACACGACTGGTTATGTAATGGTGAACATTGGTTAAGATAATTAGACACTAGGGTGAAAAAAAGCAGTCACCTGATATATTGTCAAATCACGATAGGCAGAGTAGGTTAAAGTTTCTGGAAAAGTTGCAATCAATTGGGCTTCATGTGCATCATCCCCATCCTTTTTAGGATTTTGTGAATTTGACGGCTTGTTAGTAACAGTTATTTCGAGCACTATATCCTTCTGGTCACTTAATTTAAATACTGGAGCACCATTCTCTCTGCAGGAACAAACAAAGAACTTGTCTCATTAATAAATACAATTGATTGATAAATCCAATTATCAATCAATAATGCTGTCGATGTACTTGACATTTATCTGAGCTTGCCCTGTAAAGTAGGTTTTCTTAATGACTATTCTCAAATATGTTTTTGAAATGTATTTCAATTAATTATTATAGTCCTGTAGCTCAGTGGTTAGAGCACTTGCCTTGCAAGCGAGACACCTGGGTTCAATTCCAGGCAGAGGGCGAAACCTTGGGCAAGTTTCCTTACTCCACACAGAGCCTAATAATAATCCCTCCAAAACAAAAAATGAATAAATTGGTCATTTTCAATCCACGACTGTTTGTGGGACATTGCTCTGCGCAATTGGCTGCCGCGTTCACCCACAAATATACAGTCAATTCAGTTTGCAGCATATTCTGTGAAGCGCTTTGAGACATCGAGAAGACGTGAAAATCGTTATATCAAATGCAAGGATTATTATTATATTATTACTGTTATAGGGCAAAGGTGAAAGAATTTTATTCTATATAATGGGATGAATCAAATAGCAAACTGAACTGCAATATAGACCGTGGTTAGTGGAAGATAAAATAGAGTAGGAACAACACAGTTAAATAAAAAAACAAAACACTTACTTGGGTAAAGGATTAAACCTGTCCTGATTGTCAATCCTGGAGCAAAAACGATAGTTTAATTTAAGATTACTCTGGCAAACGTGGTCAGAACCACATCCTTCTTTCAAGAACTGTACCTGTATCAGAAAGATGCAAAGATAATCTGTGAGTGCGACCAAGTAATTTTTGTTATAGATATGAAGCAATACTGCAATTTGAACAATCACCACTGGGAAACAGAATCACCTGTTGAGGTTTAATTGGAACTCTGACTATCCAAAAATAACCGTACCTGGTTACAATAAAAAAACACTTAACATTAAAGAAAGAACTTGCATTTGGATAGCACCTCATCACATTGAAATGTCTCAAAGTACTCCACAAGTAACTGCTATGAATTGTAGTGACTTGTTTTTTTAGCAAACACGGCAGCCGTAAATACCCATGTCGGGAAACAACCAAATCCGGACAACTATTCACCATAACACTCAAGAGACACTCCCTTCTCTTTCGAATGGCATCAGAGAATCTTTAGCAGCCACCTTCGTAGGCATATGGGACCTGAATTTTAATATCTCACTCAAAATAAAGATTGTCCTACAGTGGCAGACGTCCCTCAATACTGCACAGGAGTATTAGCCCAATCTACAAGTTGTAGCATTTAACTCGTATAACTGGCATTGGTATTTCTAATTCGGAGGGAAGGAGTGGCGAACATACTTCATTGTTCTTCAAATTTTACCCACTTCACTTAAACTGCCAGTGCAATACGAAATTGAAGAGCGTGGATTTGATGCTTAGATTGTCACATTGTTCATTTTTTCACAATTAATAATTCCCCATCTTCTCCCCTTCCAAGGATGCACACTCCCACCTCGCTGAGCCAGTTCGGAACTTTGGCATCTTGTTTGACCCTCGACTGTCCTTTCTACCCCACATCCGTGCCATGCCTTCTCCCTCCTCCGCAACATCGCCCGGTTCCCTCCACTGTCTCACTACGCAGGCCGCCAAGACTCTCGTACACACATTCGTAACATCCAGGCTCGACTTTGCAAACTCCCTGCTTGTCGGCCTCCCCAACTCCTTCCTCCACAGGCCGCAGATCATCCAGAACTCTGCAGCCCGTGTCCTCTCCCGCACCAGGCTCCGTGACCCTCTCACCCCCATCCTCGCCCGAATCCACTGGCTTCCCATCACACAGAGGATACAGTTCAAGGTCCTGGTCCTCACCTTCAAAGCCCTCCATGGCCTTGCTCCCCCTGACCTCTGATCTTCTAAACCCCTACCAACTTGCTCGCTCCCTCCGCTTAGCAAGCTCCAGCCTGCTTCACTCCTCCTTACCCAACCCACCATTGGCCGGCGGTCTTTCAGCCACTCTGCTCCCAACCTCTGGAACTCCATCCCACAATCCCTCCACCTCACCCCCTCCCTCGCTTTCTTCAAGAACTTCCTCTTTGGTCACCCTCCTTTGGTCACTGCCCTCTACCTGCCTGATCCTGACCCCCAGCTCGGATCGAAAACACTGATTGTCCAGCGCCTTGGGATGTCCTCCTGATGTGAAAGGCACTACACAAACATAATTTTGTTGTTCTATTCCTACAGTTTTCCCTGTTATAAAGTCACATTGCAGAGCGACTACATTAAACAGAGGCCGGGATCATACTGTGCTCCGTGTGACACAACCTGGAGTTCGACTAGACTAACCTCTGCAACTGCAGGTTCACTCTGACTGAGGACTGGAAGTAGATTCTGCAGGTTACCAGCTTGTCTTTTCTTGCGATTAGACTGATTGATTGTAACTCCAACTGCTATCGAAATAGGGTGCAGTTTATCCTTGATATTCTCCTAGAAAAACACAAAAAAGATATTTGATTTAGTATTTTAATCCTCAGCCACATTTATGCAATAGGAGGAATTTCTAAACCTAAAACTGAAATCCATCAGAGATGAAGCTGTCAGACTTGAAGACAGTTTGATGGTACATAAAGCTGTAAATCAAACAACATGATTGAAGACCATTTCCTAACAATATGGGAAACTTCTCCAGGGTAATGGGATTTACTCAGGTCTATTTGTGAACTGATTTCTAACAAGTAAAACCTGTATTCACGTGACTGAGGCCGACCCTTCTGAACGCTGCTTGGATATTGATTAACACGAGACCTCCTGGCCTAAGCGACTTCATAACTGAGATTGGGATCGGAGTTCCAGTGACTCAACACGATCCACTACATAGGAATGAATCTGCAAACCTCCCAAGTTATATTGCGGTGCGTGTGAAAATGAAGTAGTAAAGTAAGATTACCCGAAGCTGAAGTTTTTCTGTAACACACTTCTCCTCATTTTGCCCCCTCAGCGTAACACTGCCAGAGAGCTGGTGGTTATCTTGATTCTGCCCTGCTTTAACAAATGAAACTCTTGATTGTCGATCAGGCTTTCCCCTTTGAGTGTCAGCATCAAGCAGGTATTGAACAGCTAAACGGGAAATTAAAGAAAGTTGATAAATTTCTGTCTACCAACAAAAACAGAGCTGCACAAAAAAATATTTTTCTTTCACTCACTTATCTTCGGTCTGTAAGTATTGGAGTAAGCCGTGTACTGAAAGCATGCGTTGACAGTCATACTGTGAAGAGAAAAAAATATTAGTAGAAGCTACACCAGACACCTGGCTGACCAAAAATTTTTATTGATCAATTACTATTAAAATGGTTGAGCTGACGTAGCCTCCTTTGTGCTTCAAATGACTGCTAATAGCGAAAATAAACTATAAAGACTCAGAAGACACTAAATTTTATTGTCTTTCTGTGCCGTCAACTTTTTTCTGACTTGAGAAGGGAGAAAATTAGAGGATGAATAATAGGGGACTAAGACATAACAAGCGGCGGAAATAAAAAAAAGAATTTTAGAGGGCAGTGTCTGAACACAAATTAGACAATCAATCTAACGTATTTAGTCTTTACACTGCTATTAAAACGAGCTGCAATTTGCTTTGATGCCATTGGTAACCAATAGCAATGTTCTCAAACCGGAAACTTTGGGGCACCTACGAGCAAAGCATTAATTCCCTTTTCAAATCTTTTCACAGAACCACAAGCTGTTGGTGACACAGTGGAACACTGCTCTCGCATTCAACTATTGCCCTACTCGCTCAACGCGTTACTATCTTGTAACATGTTAAGTTTTATCCTGCATTACGTGAAAATTCACTGATTGTTTTCACATTTGTTTTCTCTAGTAAGCTTAATGGTTGTCAGAAGACAGTCATTCAGCTCTGGTCTGTACACCAGACAATCAGGTTGATGCACACCTATTTACAACTGCTATTTTGTCTTGAGCTACTTACCAAATTGCTTGGCCATTGTTGCAGTTCTTTTTTTGAAAATCAATATTTTGAGGTGAAACAGTCACGGTCTTCTTAACATCTATAACAGGTCGAGCCCTAAATAGAAAAAAGCAATGCAAAATAGACTTTGAATCCTTAAAAAGTGTTTACTGCTCGCCATTTTTCAAAGGGGATTACTCTGTTCTGTGCATTTCATAGAGCACACATATCACTGTGGATTAATTGCTTTTCTCCTCTCTTCATCGCATTTCTAATCATGTCTCTGGACACTTAAAGGCCTATAATGCAATTTTGAAGACAGCATTAGATATTAAAAATAAATTTACACTTGCACTTTAAAAATGAATTATTTATAAGCACTCAGCGAATAAAATCACTAAAAACGTTCTAGCCCACTTTAAAAAATGTGCTACATGGAACCCAAAGGTTACACTAAACCCTTATGTGATTAGGAAATAAACTTTATGGTGTATAGTACATAGGGAATTCGGGACATTATGTGCATGCGACCGCCAGGAAGGTGGAAGGCAAACTAGATGAACTTCGATTTTTTTTCTTGTCTAGCATTTCTTTTAGCGCCTTGGGATGTCCTCCCGACGTGAAAGGCGTTGTACAAATGTATTTTGTTGTTGATGTATTCTTCTGTTGACTATGTATTCAAGAACCAGAGTGAACTCAAACGTACCACTGGGTGGTGGTGTTGCAAGCAAAAATCTCTCACCTGTATATAAACACAGAATCACCAAGCGATCCGACGGCAATGTCGGGATAATTATTCTCATCTAGATCCATTCTCCCTGTCAGAGAGTAGCCAAAATACTCTGCATTCAAATGTTTCCCTTCAAGAACCTAGAGGGAACATAAAATAATTTATCAGATTTAAACAGTTGCTGACCACTCAAAGAGTGACGGCAGCACAATAATCTCATAACTGGAACATCTCCTTCAATAGTTTCTGACATGGGTGCATCAATTAGTGAAATGTCCAGCGGCGGATTGAGAGCCACAAAATTTTACAGATAACTGATATATTGCAGAAGATCGGCAATTTGTACATAAACATTGCCGGAGTAAGTAATTTGATACCTTGATTTTAATCATAGAGTTCCCATCATTGCTGATTCTGCTTCACTCACTGCAGTAGATGTGGGAAACACTTTGGTTATAGTAGTCATTCAGAATGTCTACGCGCTGCGAACGTTTGGATGTAACAGTATATTGAGGGCATCCTCAATTTAAACACATTAGTGAATGCAACAATTGTATTCGCTACTCCAAATTGACAAGGATCCTCATTCACAAGATTTCTGTAAATGACTACTTGCCTGTGCAGGTGTTGTATTTATTCCAGAGCTTGATCCATGGTAAATAAAAACCTGGCCTCTTTCAGAATAAGGCGCTCCAACAGCAATATCTGCAGGTCAATATATAGCAGCACATAAGCACTACTTTCCAAACACACCATTCCTGTTGTGCTCTACAGTTACTTATATCCATGCAAACAGAACATCCACCCAAATACTTAGGTTTCTCCTAACTGTAAATAATTATGGCCTTACCTTCATACCCATCCTTGTTAATGTCACCTATATTTTCAACAGCAAGCCCAAACATCGAGTCCTTCGTGCCATTTAAGCGAATGGGCTTTATGTTACTCCAGTCCCCTTTCTGATTAATGTAAATATAGACAGCACCACCGATTTCTGCTTCTTTGTCAAAGAACTGGGGGGCTCCAACCACAATATCATTCCAGCTGAAAAATAACCATTCTCATTGAGGCAAAATGTCAAAGAATTTTAAGGTATTTTTCCCAATTTCTCCTCACCCATCAGCGATTCATGCATTCGTAACAGTCTTAAATAACCTTTACTTACTACACAGGGTCATGGGAAGAGGGGAGGAACACAATTGAGAAGTTCATTTCAAAATCAGAAATAATGTTTAAAAAGCCCAATCCAACTGAAACCCAATGGGATATTTTTTTGAACGAATACGATTGCTATTCACTTACCCATCACTGTTAAGATCGGCAACAGCGACATCATATCCAAAAGAAGATGCCAGTCCTTCTCCTTCCAAAGTGTGTTCAGTCTCCAGGTTTCTTGAATGAAGTAACATTTTGAGAAAAACTACAGCCCCAGTATGGTTGGCTCTTGGTGCACCCGATACAAAAGTCAGTTTGTCCTGGTTTGTGATCCCTTTACCTGAATCCAGAGAGAAGCCTAACACAGGACAATGGGATTAAATTTCATAGCAGGATACTGATAGATAGGAAAATTTACACAGCTTCAAACTTTTCTTCAGTTTTCAGTCTATCCAGTGGTACACAAGTACATCGCAGGAAACCTCACCAGCACAAGGGAGGAAGGATACAGAAACAAAATACGTGAAATCTACCATCCTCGCATTTCTGTTTGTCCGTTATTCCAACAGCTTTTAAAATTACTTTGCCCCTCGTGCAGCTTCCCTTTCAGAAAGACGCTAAGAGAAGCTGCAACAGGGGTATGTTCCACTGAAATTATAAATGTAAATTTGTAATTTTTTTGTTGTAAAAACACTACACAGGTCATCAGCAGGAGTCCTGCCTCTTTGTGCCTACCTAGGTAACTGTTCCCAGGCACCGGAACCTTTGATTCATCTCTGATGCCTTCATCACCAACTTCATAGGGTCCATCGTCAATGATACTGAAATCAGTGCTTCTCAATTCCACATGAACAATTCCTGAAAAAGCAAAATATTTATCTGGTCAATTAGTTACCTCTGTTGGCAAATGTAAGAGTGTGGCTGTTGCTTGAAGACAAAGAATGGGCTCGGCTGTGCTATCCCTCTCTCCACCCGCCCCCACATCCCCAAACCCGCCCTCCCCCAACCATCCCCACAGACTAAAATGCTACAAACTCTCATTGACTCGATTTATGTATGAAGAATGGTCAGTTAGGCGAAGGCGACCAACAACCATGAAATTATATTTACCCACAAAATGTACAAACCAATTTACAGTGTATTCTGTGAAGCCCTTAGAGACATCTCGCCGACATTATAATGCGCTATATGAAGTGGAAGGATTATTACTCATTATTTTTATTATATCCCAACAAAAGGGTCTGTGGCTTTAGAAAACAGGCAAAAAATTATTTTAAATAGAATACCTTTCCAGTTGTAGGCACCAGGAACACCATATACAGCATAATCGCTGTCCTTGCCAAAAGTGCTAGCTACTCCTTGCTGGCAAATCCCAAATTTCTTGTGACTTGAAAGACGTCCATGGCAAATTTTGACATTTGCGTCAAATTCATAGTCCCGGAAAACCAGGTCCTCACTCAAAATATAACACTGTCCCGTCACTTCACGAGACTCTGTCGCTGTGTTCCTATACCGTCTTTGCTCGTATCGATGTGCACAAACCTAAAATGAGATAATATTTTAGGATTAGGGGCAATAAAATTCAGCAACGTTACAAGAAATTCACTGTTTCTGCAAGTGCTTTAAAGTATTTTCCTTTCCAACTTGATAACAAGAGAACATTAGAACAAAAATATTCCTCAGAACATCATAGAAAAAAAACCAGAAAGGAATCTTGATAAATCCAATGAGATCAAATCATTTCAATAAGTTTTTTCCCTTCTCGTCTTGAAATTTTGACTCCTTTAGAAAAATACCTAATTTTTATTTCCTTTCATTTGAAAGCAAATAACTATTCAACTGTGTTTTTTTTACGGATTGAGTAAGGGTTGAAGATGCTCTTCTCTTCAATCTCTAGAGTGTTCACATATCAGTATATATTTTTGAAGTGTTCTATTAATGCTGCAAAACTACCCGGAAGCCTCAGCTCTAAGAGGACAATATTCCCCTAATATTTTCTTCCTTCTCTCCTCAATAAATAAATTCAACGATGTCTCCCATGAAGTACATAAACAACTTTACTATCATTTGCTGTACATCAAATACAGGGATCACTTTAATCACCAGTGTAAGAGTCACGCGATATCATACCTTCCACTACTGGTAAATAACACTCACCAGAACCTTTCCTCCCACTTTCTGACTTGCCACAGATACACCCATCCATTGATCTTCCTTACTTTCATCATCGTTAGCTGAAAAGGATCAAATTGAAATGTTAAAATCAGTACCACAAACCACAAGCGTTGTGTTTCCGGTGAGTGTGGGTGCATAGGAAGCAGCACTACACAGGGGCAAATGGCCGCAAACGGTAAAGACGCCAATAGATGTGTCGAAATGTTCACAAAGATTACATTGATTTTGCACAGGATAAGGACAGATTGGCTTTTGTGAAACAAACAATAGTGATTACCATGAAAACCCCTTAAGGCTATGAAGCCTTTCCAAGGCATACTACTATGTGCTGCATTCAAATCCTAGAAAGAATGTTACATTTGCATGCTAAATGACTGAAATCACATCCTTTTGGAAAACTCATCCTGCTTTTCTATTGCAGCACTGCTTCCTGAGGTTCTGCAGCATCTCCTGCTATTCCCACTGTTGAAGAAACTTGCGCCAGGCAGTGGTTTCTATCACACCCAGATCAACTTCAAAACAACTGCACTTCCCACAGTACTTTCCTTGAGGTCACAAAGAGCAATGACATTTGCTGGAGTTGTTTCTTTCTGCAGTATTTGATACAGAGGCAGTACAGCAGTTATTCAGTGCTTCCTGACCAAAGGCTTAATAATCACATCGGCAGTCTCTTCCAATTGGAGGGAGCATCACAGCCAAGCAATATATTTTTTCTCACCCAACCTGCAGATATGAAACTTCCAATAGGAAGTAGAATCAGATCAGAAATATGCTGATTTGCTCCTTCGTTACCCAAGGTCACTTGAGTCCAATTGTAGCCTCCCTCCTGACATTCACTGAGATCAACTAAAGCAATACAAATCTTACAGTCTGTGTTGCTTATAATATCTGATTGTAACTAGAGAAATTACATTATAAAGGCCATTTGGAGAAGTGTTCATAACCACCTGTGTAACTGACTTGTAGAGTAACACAAGCAGCTTGGAGCTTGAAACTGAAATTGGTCTACAACGGGGGTGGCCAAACCGCCATCGAACCCCCCACCACCCACCCGAACAAGTCTAGATAAGTCATATTTACATTCACTTTGTTGGCCAACCATAAAGGTTGATCACCACTGCTCTACAGCAAAGTCCTGTTGTGCAACTGAATTGTATAACTTTCCAATATAGACACTTTAAATTCATTGTAATTTCCTAAAATTAAAAATGTGCCAGTGCTTTGGTCTTTCAGTGAACGCCAACTCCTTAGAGGACAGAAATACCTTGATATTATTTTGCACAAGTCAACCAAATCACTTACCATCATTGTCAAAAATGACCCGTTCACAGTCTCTTTCTGCAGAAGTGATGGGGCATTTGTACAATCCTCCTGTGATATTAGCATTTTGATTTGAAAGTGCTTTTGCTTTTGGAGCTCCAACCAGCAACCTGTTCAGAATAGAGTTTTAAAAAATAAAGTTACATTAGAATAACCACCAAGTGAGTGACCAATGTTTTCTGGGGGACTGTTGGACAGTACACCGGGAGAAACTCCCTTCTCTTTTTGAGTACCACCAAGGGATCTTTAATGTCTACCCAAACAGGCAGATAAGACCTTGGTTTAACCTCTCTTCCGAAGAATAAATGAATGTAAAAGCATTTTCTAAGTAAGGCCCAGTGCATCTGCGTCATTGCTATTAATTTGGTATTTTTAGCACCTCACAAGTTGCATCAAGTTCTTAAACACATTGATTTGTTTTGCTTCAGCTGCAGCTTCCAAACCCTCCGGGAAAAGAACCTCTCAAACGGAACATAAAGCACTCTTGTCAAATGCAAGAATCGTAATTAAAGCAGAAAGTGGTATAGTTTATCAAATGGATCTGAATGCTTAATCACCTTCCCAATTATGGCAATTTACCACCGAGACTCTTAAATTTACGAAACACCAGTGAATGAAAGGGCATCAATTTTCAACAAATTAACTGAATCATTGGAAAAAAAAATACAACAACAAACACTTGAAATATATCATCAGACGCCCCGGCACGCCTTGCGATGATAGCAAGCGGTCCGAGCAAAGCCCAGCGAGCCGTTAAGAGAGGAGCGCGTGGTCTAAAACAGGTTTAAAACAAGTGAAAATTTAACTCAAGTGAAGCGTGCAAATAATGCAAATGAAATAACTCGAGGAAGAAAATCTTGACTCGATTACTGATGTGCAGGCAAACTGGGTTGAGATTCCTTAAATGCCAGCAACAAACTACCAACGTTTGGTGAGAATGCTGCCCCCCCCACCGCCCCACACCCCCCCATCCCTCTTTTGTTGAGAACAATTTGTTGCTTTCATTTCGTGAATCTAGGCATGGTTTCCAGCAGCAGTAGCCACAGGCCATTATTTGATGTCTGGGTTGGACGTTTTCTCAAACATTCAGTCGTGAACTTGAACAAAGGACAAAAGATTGACGAGAAGCTGGAAAACCCTCTGAGAAGAAAAAGCACAAAGAAGTCTTCAGCGGCTTAAATCCGCGCGGGTTGTCAGGGGCCGCACTACAATAGCATGACTAAAAGATCGTATAATACAAACGTGTGCTTCATTACGCACCACAGCCTCACGGTGCACGGCTTAGTTCCTCAATTTTTTTTTTAGAAAAAACGTAGCCCACAACAAAGCTCAAAGTTCAAACCGATTAATACTACTATCTGCCAGGCAGCAGGTTGTCCATTCACCATCTTGACCTCAGTTGGTGAGAGGCGCGGAAGAAGAGAGACGAACTTGAGGGAGGAAAAAAAAAAGTGATACCTTCTTCCTTTTAAAAAGGCAAAATTCAAGCAAGTAGCTCAAACGCTACAGCGCTGGAGCGGGCAGGTTGCAGGCTTGAGCGACATTTACAACTTTTAAAATACTGACGTCGTCAGAACAATGAATTTTGAGATGATCCAATGATTTTTCCTTCAAGGGAACAATTCCGTGAAGCACTCGGAGATGTCTAGAAAATGTGAAAAGCCCTGTATCAAATGCAAAGATTATTATTAATAGCTAAAGTGAGAAGACTGCTTTCTCTCGCTCTTAACTCTCTTTCCCTACGCATCCCAACTTCAAGTGACTCACTTAGGCTGTGTCTAGACTGCAGAGCTGCTTCTGTCCAATATTCACATTGCATTCCAGCGCAGCAACAGTCAAAACACCGTGTCCAAATTCACAGACAGGCACACGCAGGAGTTGGTTCCAAGTTGGGAATCTTCACTTCATTTTCACATCTTCCCCAACCTCTCGCACAACAAACACATGCATCACTATAGCACGATCCCGGCCCAGTCTTTTCCCTTCGAGAATATCTGCATAGGATTTTGCTACGCACTTACAATGGGAAAGACTTTTGCAAAAAAAAAAAAATGGTTGTTTGGGTGGACTACCAGAGCGTTGCGGGGCCCTGTGCAATCATGCTGTAACCAGGATTCAGCGGTTGCAGGAGGAGGGGATAAAATACCAACTTGTTTTTTTTAAAAAAACCAGAATGTTCCTTCATCAAACACTAGACGTACTACACTGCAACCATTTGCAATGCAGGTTTTTTATCTCAAACAACTTCACCATGGCGACAGTTGTGTGAACTTTGGATGTGTGAATGCACGCTCACACACACACACACGCACACACAAATTAATGTGGGTCACAGAGCATTGGGGTGAAAGGTGAGCAATGTGGTCGCAATTGAGTGAGCATCTTAAAAGGGATACAATTCTAACTATTGGAGCCTTCTAAATACTGGAGAAACAAAGTAAAATAAATAGAAATGAAAGCAAAATTCAAACAATTATTAAAACTGCTATGATCCACGTGGCAAGATTTTTACACTATAGGCTGCAAGGCTATCTTTTCCAGCCTATGGTACAAAGACTGTCATTAATAAGGCATTATATGGTAAACATGGCATCATATCGCTTTCAATGGAAGAAATACACAGACAGCTCTTCCTTTACCTCACGAGCAGTGTCAATCAGTGATGCTAATGTATACCAATGAAAAACGTTACTAAATATTATCACTGGGACAGAACCCCTTTAAAAGTGAAAGCAAGTGCTTTAAAATTGTAGATTTAATCATCACTGCGCCAAGCTCCACCTCTATCCTACTAATAAAAGCTTCAGATTTATTCGGACCTGCAAAATCCTCCCGAGGTCACCAGTGGCATGTTTCAACAACAACAACAAAATGCATTTATATTGCTGCCTTTCACGTTAGGAGGACTTCCCAAGGTGCCGGATAGCAAAGGGCTTGCACCCGAACTAGGGGTTGGAGATGAGACACGAGCTGCAATGTTCTGAATAATCTGTAGTTTACGGAAGGAAGAATTGGGAAATCCGGTGATCAGACATAATGAATGTGTAGATAAGGGACTTGGCAGCCTAAGGGGAGACAATAATGGCAGAGGTACTCAATTTTGTGGAAGTGGGGGATGGCTGAATGGGTCATGGCATAGATGTGAGGTTTAAAAGGCAGTTGAGGGTCAAACAAGACATGAAGGTTCCATACTAACTCGGTGAATTGGAGAATGCATCCACGAAAAGTGATCCTGTCAGCACCTAAGGTGAAGGTAATAATGTCTGTGGAATTTTGCAAGTTAACGATCATTTACGTTTACACACAAGACCTCAAGACTATGATCCCTTTCCTTCAGATAGAAAGCAAGTGCTCCATTTAAAAAAAAATTGTCGCACTTCAAAAAAAGCCATCATATTTTTAATATTAATGATGCTTAACTCGATTAAAGGCTATGCAGGCATTTTACTTGATCATTGCCAAGTATGCAGTTTAATAATAATAATAATCCTTGCACTTTATACAGCGCCTTATCACATCTTTGAGACGTCTCAAAGCGCTTCACAGAATATACTGTAAAGTGAATTGACTATTTTTTTGTGGGAAAAACACAGCAGTCAGCTGCGCACAAATCTTTATTTGTGTCCAGACAGAGTGGCATTTTAACACTCTCACTGTCTTACTATTTCTTGCTGGTTTGTGTGGTTTTTTTGAATGAAAGAAGCCCTTGTATTAGATGTCGGCTCCTATTACTGCTGTTATCTGTTGCTTTTGAGTTCTTGCAGAACGTTCATTCTGTTTAATGCCGTTGCAGATAATATAGTACTGCATTCTCCTGTATATTACTATCTCCACATTGAAAACTTCTGGAGAGATCAGAAGGATTGTAAATATGATCACTGATCTCATCTTCCAATTGTAGGAAACGAACAGACTTTCAATTTTCATGTCTGGTGAATGCTGATCCATACCACCATTGGGAAGCTGGATAAACAACAACTTTCACTTAAATAGCGCTCTCCCCTCCAGAGTAGCGTCTCAGAGCGCTTAACAGTGGCGGAGCCTGACTCTGAGACTGGGGGAGATGGCAGGTGGCCGTAAGCACGGTCGAAGAGGAAAGTTTTCAAGCGGGACTTGAATGAGGGGAGAGAGGGGGCAAGGTGGAGGGATTCAGGGAGAGTATTCCATAGTTTTAGGGTGTAGTGGCTGAAAGCTCGACCTACGATAGTGGGGCGCAGAGTGCGAGGGACGAGCAGGAGGCTGGAGTCGAGCGGAGTTGCCGGGTGGTGGATTGGATAAACCAGATTTAAAGTCTCACTCGCTCGTTTACTTTTTCCTTTCACTGATAAAGATAGCATTTGTTCCTGTTTCTACAGTACTGCAGTTTTTAAAAAAATAATCCATGCCATTGTTAATTTGTTCTTGAAAAAGGTTCACAAATTAATCTTCAAACAAACCTTTAACTTGATTATGCATTCAATCACTGCAGTTTACATTGTATCCTGTGAAGAGCTCTGGGACTCTATCCTGAGACGAAAGGCCTTATACTAAATGTAAACATTATTAATTTTCCTCCCACTTCTCTTAAAGATGCAAACTCAAGGTGGGATAGAGTTCCTTGAGAAGAGGTCTCCGTCTAGTACCTCATCTAAATGTCCATTCTTTGTGAATCTAAACAATCTATTCAAGGTGGGTGGGTGGGGCAGAGGTAATTACAGATAAGACTGGTTTTGTAGTTTCCAGCAATTGTCAACGGATAGACTGGGAATCAGTGAATGCTCCAGGCAGCGACTTTGCCAACTAAGGCCTTTGGGAACTTGTGAATCTTTACATTTAATAACACTCAATAACTTTTGGGACAATTAGATCAAATATTTATCCCAAAGAACAAAGCATAATTCTCAGACTCCGCAACAAGGGGTAGGAAGGGGGAACAAAACAGCCAGGTATACTGTTCCCAATTTGCTACCCAAAAGGTGCTGCTGTAAGTTGCAATCCTGTCGGCTTTGGATGAATGTGGGATTGTGTTTATGATTGTAATCCGCACTGTCCTCACAAAGGTCATACATCAATAATCACCACTTACTTGGGTGAGGCACTGGAGAGCCCAGAACTGTAAACTGGCACATGGATAAAGGATCTGTCCATCACCTACCCTCCTCCAATTCTCCTGGAATTTAGGAGAAACGGCTGCCAACACTCCCAAGTTCAAAGCTTTTAAACCCATGGCAAAATACAATAACCAGAGTATATTTTGTAGAGGTTTGATGAAACTTCCAAGTATCCGTGGAATAGGCCCAACCTGAATCCTAGAACAACCACTACGGGAGGCCAGCATTTTCTCCAGCAGGTTCCTTTTACGAGACGCTCCCTTGCACACAAGGCAGATCTTTGACATAATCTCGTCTCAGGACATGCAATACCTTTGCATTGTTTGCAACATGAAATCACACCATAAAAACATAGGCTGGGGAATAACCTTCGGGCAAGCTGAACTCCAAAGCCAAATGCTTTTGGAGTTTTATGTACTTTAAAAGGATTCCTACAGCTGAATTGAAATTATTTCACAGATTCTACAGGCTCGGTGGTTGCACTAAGTTTATTGTTTATTATTTTTCACTATTTCCTATATTTATTTGCCAGCTTTAACACTTCACAAAAAACATTAATTGGCTTTTAGAGCTATCCTTTGCACATTAGTAGCTATCCCCACTCCCAGTTAAATTATACACCAGACTCAGTTTAAAAAAAACTTCTGCAGCTGATTAGTGTAAATGTCCCTGAATAAATTGGCAAACTGATTTATCCACAGCAAGAGCGCACCCAACTAAAGTCCATTTAGTACTTTGTAATCTCTCTGATTAGAACTGCATTTAAAAATCTGGGACAGTAAACCAAAATGTCTTGTAACACTTACCTCAACCTCCCATTCAACAAGAAGACAGATTTAAAGCCTTATATCTTATACAACAACAGTACACTACAACTTATACTACAGCAGATAGAAGACTTTCCCTTTATTGAAATTAATACTGTGCTCTATATCAAAATTAATTTTTAAATCATTCTTATGAATTATAGCCATCCGTCAATGAAAGAATATTCTTCAATCCTGAAGATTATTCTGTAGCCATTTAGTGGAATTATTTCAAATCGGACATTGTTTTCCCCACAGTATTTAAAATGATTGACCTTCTTTAGAGCAAAAATTAAAACTGCTGCCTAAAGTACTCGAAATTGATTTTGAAGTCAATAGTGATGACTACTGACTGATTTCTTTCAAACATTATCATCAACGATTGGTTGTATATCTGTACGTATGGCTGATTAGCCCATACAGTAGTACCAACCAGTCAGCACAAACTGTTACCCTCCAACACCAATACTGCCTCCCAAGAGGATATTTCTACCCAAGTGCCGGGACCCCTTTTTATATCTTATGTTGGATAGGCTGTTGGATCAAGATCAGAGAATATGGGTGGAATTAACTGAAAGTAATCTAATAGAAAGCCTGCAAAACATTAATCAGATTGAAACGCAGTTCACCTCTCCTCTTTCTGGCCGATTTACAGAATAATCTCCATTACACAATTCCCAGTTGCTGATCTTCTATTTCGTTTGGGTTCCAATGCTAAAGCCATCTTAAAGATTTCTCTGATCTGGATCACATATCAGTGAAACCACCCAAAATTATTCACTCGCCCTCTCTTATGATAATAGTAATCCTTGCATTTGAATACAGCGCTTTTCACATCAGGAGGATGTCTCAAAGCACTCCGCAGGATTTTACTGTAACGTGTAGGGTTCCAAAAGGCCACAGACCGTAGGGTGGGGTAAAGGTTGCGGAGGGATAAGGTTCTTGAATTTGAATACCATAACTTGCCAATTTTATCTTTGAATTAACAGCTTTGAAACAGTTATTGCTAATCAGTAACCTAATGGACGATTACTTTTAAAATCGGAGAGGTGCATCCAGCCCCCAAAAATAATAACCTTCATGCAGGAGAATCATACAGTATTGACAGCTGCAACATCTACTTGGTAAAATGTCCTCGCTTGCTTTAGGGCATTCTAATAAATTCATTCTCCACTCAAAGCAGAGACAAGAAGGCGTTTTGCAATGAACGATCACAGGCATTTGATTAAGTTATAGGAGGAGAATCACACTAAGACAGAATGTGGTAAAATAGTAAATCCGCAAACAAAAATGCCCTGAGAAATGTTGACCTAAAAAAACGAGGCACTGTGTCGAATGCAAGGTTTATTACAGTTACAGCATTATTATGATTCGCTAAACATGCCTTGTGTTGAAACTCCCTTTGCCGGTTCAGGTGGACGTTAAAGATCTTGGCTTTAAATTCTCCCTGTATTTTGGCCAACAGTCCCTCCAGGTAAAACTGGTCACTCACTTCATAGTTCTTTGTGGGCTATTGCTGTGTGCAAATCGGCTGCTGTGTATAGACAGTCACTATACTTTACAAAAATCCTGTGAAGTGCTTCGAGATGTCCTCCAACGTGAAAGGCGCCGTTTCAAATCTAAAGATTATATATATATAAAGTATATATATCTATATAAAAAAATGCAATTGTAATTTCTGCCCAGCGCCTTGGGATGCCCTCCCGACATGTGAGGCGCTACACAAATGTAATTTTGCTGTTGTTGTGTTGCTGTTAATACATAAACTGAACGTCGAGGTCTCCTGGTTTGGGGGAAATAAAGCTACAGTCCTCAAGTTGTCCCCCTTTTGACATAGCTCTGGGCTGATCCCGCAATATCACTGCACAATTAAAAGTGCCTCTGCTTTCAGTATACATATACATTTAGTATTTAAGCGCTCCGGGACCCTATCCCTCATGAAGAATCCCCATATAAATGCAAGTGGTTGTTGTATATCATCATGCACCAATATTTGGGTAAAATACCGTACCATAGTGCTAGTGCATACCAACGTAATGCATCTCCTCACAGGAATGATCCACGTTTCTAAACCTGTTTCAGACAGAATAACTCGGCAGCAGCGTCACTGTGTCAAAGGTAACCCATGACGACCCCAACTAAAACACACAGCATGAGAAAAAAAAGGGAGTCCTGAGGTTACTCGTTCGTTTTGGTCACGTCAAAACTAAACCCTTACGGGGAAAATAGCAGCTTAAATTCAGTGAAAACGTGCCAAGAAAAAAAAAAAAAGAGGGTTCCTACAACAAAGACGCCGTTTATGAAGCGGTTTCTTCGTCACAGTTGCACTCAGAACAACCTGTTTCCTCGGCTGAAGGGACAGCAATGTGAATGGTAAAATGGGCTCTTTTCAGTCACTGAATGGGAAACGATCAGAGAATCATCACTGCGACTTGTGAAGGTTCCTCCATCAAATCCCAAAAGGGAATCATTGGGGTCGTATCCTCTGGCAACACCCGGGGCTTCACTGAACACCAGTGAGCACAGGAACAATTCCTGCCTGAAACCTACCCAAGACAGCCTCCCCCATCCTACACACTCCCCCACACCCCCCCACCACTCTCCCCCACACACACACACCCCCACCACTCTCCCCCACACACCCCCCCGCCCCTCTCCCCCACACACACACACACACCCCCGCCCCTCTCCCCCCCACACTCCCACACACTCCCACCCCTCTCCCCCCACACACACCTCCACCCCTCTCCCCCACACACACCCCCACCCCTCTCCCCACCCCTCTCCCCCACACACTCCCCCACCCCCAATCAAAGTCTCCCCCCACCCCTCCGAGGTCGATGGGTGAGGGGTGTGGGGGTGATGGGGGTGGGGGGGTGAGGTGGGGCATGGGGGGGGTGTGGGGGTTGTGTGTGGGGGGGGATGGGGGTGGGGGGGTGAGGTGGGGCATGGGGGGGGTGTGGGGGTTGTGTGTGGGGGGGGATGGGGGTGGGGGGGGGATGAGGTGGGGGGGGGTGAGGTGGGGGGTGTGTGTGAGGTGGGGGGAGGGGGGTGAGGTGGGGGGAGGGGAGCAGAAAGAAGAGGCTTTTGTGCAGCACAAATACCACTGGGTGTTGAGGAGGGACAGAGCTGTTGGAACAACTGACCTCCATCTCCCAGGAGAGTGGTGTTTGGGGGGTGGAGAGTCTGTATGAACCCCTCACTACCCCCCAACCCCCCACCCCCCACTACCCCCCAACCCCCCACCCCCCAAAAAAAAATTCTCTCCCCAAGTTTCAAATAAAAACTTACAGGACAGACACAACCTGCAAGAGCTGCAGTGCTATGTCCCAGCAAACACACACACACACATACACACACACACACATACACACACACACACACACACACATACACACACACACACATACACACACACACACACACACATATACACACACACACATATACACACACACACATATACACACACACACATACACACACACACACATATATACACACACACATACACACACACACACATATACACACACACACACATATACACACACACACACATACACACACACACATACACACACACACACATATACACACACACACATATACACACACACACACATACACACACACATACACACACACATACACAAACACATACACACACACACACACATACACACACACACATACACACACACACACACACACACTCACTCGCTGCAGAAGGAGCGCCACTTGGAAACAGGTTGACCAGAGCCACGGGAGGGGCCAACTTTTTGCTCTGCACTGGTGTCTTCCCCCCATTTCATCCGCACACTCCCAATTCTTGGGACCAGAGGTCTCCCCTTCACTCAGTAAAAGTGGAGCCCATTCACATCACATCTCCGGCTGCATTTTCTCAGAAGTGTACAACATCTGAGACCCCCACAACCCCACACCCCCCCACAGCCCCCCACCCCCAACCCCCTACACCCCCCACACCCCACCCCATGGCTTAAAAACTGATCGAAACACTCACATCAGCTCTTTCCTTGGGGTCACCTGATGGTGCATAGCCAGTGCAAAGCCAAACAAGCTGTTCCCGTCTCCAGTTTTCTTCAGGACATTGTCTGCGTCTAAGTTAAAAGCTGAAGTCCGGGTCGCGAAGGAAAACAAAGAGAAATGGATGAGAAGCCACTTGCCCGCAGCCGCCATATCGGAATGGCCTCCTGTTCTGGGTGAAATCCTGATCTTGGTGCTGTGTGTCTCTCCTCACTCTCAAGCAGCAGCCCTTGTGTTGTGGGGGATGAGATTATAAAGTGACTGACGGTGGCGCCCCGCCCTGCGCTGTCACCCTCACTGGCTTCAATGGAAAGGAATCTGACCCCCTGCCAACTTGTCAGACTCTCTACCTCAAACCCAGCCTCTGTACCTTAACCTCTCCCGACACCTCGCAGACCTGCCTCTGCAAAAAAAACAAGAGCACTGCAAACACTTACATCACAACTCAAGTCACAACTGAGCGGAAACGAAACAAACCCCCCCCCGTCCCCCACCCCGTCCTAAATCTTTCGCCGGGACGCTTCGCCCGCGGCGACGGCCGAACCAGCCGGTCTTGCTTGGCCGTCTTCCTTTCTCGGGGCGTCTCGGCGCGACGCGGCGCTTCTCTCTCTCTCTCTCTCTCTCTCTCTCTCGAAACGCAAGGGGTTAGCGCTGCCGTTTCAAGACCCGACCAGACGTTTGCCCTCCCGGCGCGTTTTTCGACCCCGAGTGCCCTCCGGGGGAAGCGAACGAGCGAACTGTTTTCGGGACTATGCGTCGGAAACCGATTCATTTGCTGCGGTCGTGATTGCCCGTCTGGCAGGTTTAAGGGCGTTAATGTTAAGCGTTGCGAACTCAACACACAAACAACATTTTAGAAATACTGCAGGCGGATGCGGTAATCCGGAAACAAAATTGTACGTTAAGTATGGCTTTAGGGTTCTCGACTAACTCAATGTCATAACTTTCAAAATCTAACACTTCAAATGGACGTCGAACAGCACCGTTTGTGGGGGGGGAAAAAAGATTTGTGCATAGGACAACTCCCCACGCTGAATCCTAATAATCCCTTCAAAACCCCAAACAATAATAAAAATTGGTCATTTTCAATCCACGACTGTTTGTGGGACAGTGCTGTGCGCAATCGGCCGCCGCGTTCGCCCACAAATATACAGTCGATTCACTTTACAGTGTGTTCTGTGAAGCGCTTTGGACGTCCTCCCGACGTGAAAAGCGCTATATCAAATGCGAGGATTATTATTATTATTATTATTATTAAGTTCTGCCACTATCAAGTGCTCCGAGACATTGCCCTGCATGAAAGATACTGTATAAAATGCAAGTTGTCGTTACTGTTGAAACAGTGGAAGCCATTTCAAAAATAAAGGGGGGGGGGAAGTACGAGAGGCTGCTCAAATGGACATGACTAAGCTACGATCGTAACCAATTTCGGCGACCAAATAAAGCGGTGTAGGTTGAATAACGCAGGCAACGTAATGAACGATGCAGCAATTCTCCAGTGAGTCATTTTTTCACAAAAAAATATTTCAAGCAGGATTGCTTGAAACTCCTACCGTCCCATCCCACCAGAGCCGGTTGTAAGTGCAGGCGGGAGCGGTTCTTTCTACCTTCTTGCAACCTGACCTGAATATACAGTGTGGAACATGATCCAATTGCATTTGTCAAGTGACCTTGAGGCAGTCAGAAAAAAAAACGAGTTCATTCGGAAACTCCTCAGAGACTGCACTTCTGGCAATGCAGTGCTCTGTATCTACTGCGCTGGATTCTCAGGTTACAATACGAACCAAAATTCAGATGTGGGGTTTGAACCCATCACTTTCTGAAACACAAGATAGCAAAACAAGATCGAGTTGTGTTGGGTAAATAGCAATTTTCTTTTAAACACATAAAAATAATTATACCACGTTAAAACAGTTTTCCTATCCAAATCGGGTATCCACACAAAAATGCACAATATACAGTGAAATTAATTTTTAAACATTTTATTTCACTTTCAAAAATAATCCACAGACCAATCTAATTATTGCTTAGAAATCTATTGATAAGGTCAAAAAACTGAGCTACATGTTGTGTTCATTTACATTTGTGACCAGAAACTTGTATCAAATACTGTGTTAATCTTCTATTATTATTGAAAGTACGACACTATTATGGTGCGGCAAAAAATCCCTGTAAATTATTTAGTTAGTTCCACAAACAATATTTGTTCCCACAGTTTGCACAGGAAATCTTGCAATCATAGAATCGTACAGCACAAAAAGTGGCCATTCGGCCCATCGAGTCTGTGCGGCTCTTTGAATAGAGCAATTAATGTCAGTCCCACTTCCCAGCCCGTTCCCCATAACCCTGCAAACCTGTCCGCTTCAAATACCCGTCCACCGCGTTTTTAAAAGTAGTTATCGAATTGGCCTCGACCGCCCTTTCAGACAATGCGTTCCAGATTCGAACAACTCGCTGCGTGAAAAAATTTCTTCTCACCTCTCCCCTCGGCTTCTTTTAGAGACTACTGTGACCTCGAGTCACCGACACACCCACCAGTGGGAACAGTTTGTCCCTTTCTAACCTACCACATCCCCTCATGATTTTGAAGACCTCTATTAGGTCTCCTCATAATCTTCTCTGCTCCAATGAGAATAATCCCGGCCTCTCCAGCCTTTCCTCATAATCAAGGTCCTCATTCCTGGTACCATCCTCGTAAATCTCCTCTGCGCCCTTTCCAATGCCTTAACATCCGTCCTATAGTGCGGTGCCCAGAACTGGGTGCAGTATTCTAACTGAGGCCTAACCAGTGTTTTTTATGGGTTAATCATAACCTCCTGACTCTTGTACTATATGACCCTATTTATAAAGCCTAGTATCCCATATGTCCTTTTTACAGCTTTATCTACCTGTCCTGCTGCCTTCAAGGATTCATTTACCTGCACCCCCAGGTCTCTCTGTTCTTTTACCCCCCTTAAGATTGGATTACCCTCCTACATTGCCTCCCCTCATTCTTTCTACCAAAATGCATTACCTCACATTTCTCCACATTGAAACTCATCTGCCATGTGTCTGCTCATTTTACCATTCTGTCTGTCTTCCTGCAGTCGGACCCACCCTACCTTTGACTAGCCTTTTTTTCTTGGTTTGTAAAATATTTTAGAATTCCCTTTACTGTTACCCGCTAACCTTTTTTGTATAATCTTTTTGCCCCTCTGATTTCCTTTTTCAGACCTCTTCTGCACTTACTATATTCTATTTGGTTGTCTTCTATATCTTGGCTTTGACATTTGTCATACGCCTCCTTTTTCTGCTTCATTCTAGATACAATTACCTGTCATTCAGGGAGGTTTGGATGCCCTACTTTTCCCTTTTGTGGGAATGTATTTATTCTGTCCCCAAGCTATCTCATCCTTGAAGACTTCCCACTGATCTTTAGTTGTTTTACCTGTCAATCTTTCTTTTCAATGTTGGTTTGAAGTCTATTTGGACAGTTGGAACGCTCCTTACAGCAGAGGAGCTATTCAAGTTTGCAAATAGAAAATGTATTTCTCAACCGTTTCCCTTTTCTGTGGTGTAGGAATGTTCTCTAAATACATTACATGAGTTATCACTAGTGATTGGTGATTTATTCAAAAAAAATTAAAAACAAGCAGGCCGGAGCCCACTGAGCCGAGGAAGCGAACAGGATGGTAGAGGGTTTCGAGGTCGCAGAGGTAGGGGGTGGGAGCAAGACCATTGAAGGTGAGTACCAGGATCTTGAACTGTATCCTCTGTGTGATGGGAAGCCAATGGAGTCGGGCGAGGATGGGTGTGCAACCACGGGCAAAATACCCGGATAATCTCAAATATATAATTATTTACAAAAATGTACATTTGTTATTTCAATCCCAGTTCAAAGTGTTACCTGTTTTTCTGAATACACCAAGTGAGCCCCATCAAGACCTACCCTCCCCAAGAGACAAAGAGAGGCCAATGCACAGTAATGGAGTACCAGCTGTAACTTTACAGTCCTCAAGTATGTTAGGAATAAGACTCATTTTCTTGCCAAGTTGTCATCCACTTTTTCTTGTCCGATTTCTGGTTACATTTTGTCTTCAAACGGTTCTCGCTTTTCTTTCCGGATCCAAACTCCATGGTATTGTGGAACACTGTCATCAAATTGGGAATGTTTAAAAAATCCACACTGTAAACAGCAGAGAGGAAATGGAACAATCAGCTGTTTATATTATTGCACCGTGAAGTTAAACAACAAACATTTCAATTAACTTTTGGGACGTACGGTCTACATTCTAAACTTGAGAACATAATGTGGAAGCTTAATGAGGATGGGTCTTTGGGTCAAGAAGTGCAATAAAGTTGTACAAATGTTACCATGTGTATGACATTCTGAGGAAGTGGATAGATTATGAAAATGATACATCCTTTATAGCAGGAGCACAAAAATCAAGACTTTCATCATTAATTTTCTTTAAGCTTCTTTGGGTTGGCCCATATAGATAGATGTATATCCTGTATAATTTGCAGACATTTCCAGGGTTACTCACCTTCCACAATAAAAACATTAAAAGTACCAACAGCAGAATTGCAAGTAGAATAGCAACAAAAATGATCCACCAAGGAACTCCGAAATATTGAGTTACTCTTTGGTCAGGGAACACAGTAACTCGCACCTGAAGGAGGGAGTTAACAAAGATGTTATATGAGTGAACAGATCACAGGCTTTCAGTTACCAGTAGATCAGTAATAATGATAAAGAGATCAAACAAAATGGACCATGACTTAATTATCTCTTTATTTTGTCTCTGTGTGTCGGTGAATGTACGTTTTGTATTGAATGAATTTTATGTCTTAAAAACTTGCATATGGACATATTTTACATGTGCCGATTAAGTTGTTTTCTCCCAAACATAGTGTTGTCAAATTACCTCTGTTTCTGCATTTTTAACCACTACGTTGGCTTCGGATTGAAATATGATCATGGCTTTAACAATAATATCAAGGTAGTTCAGGTTTGAAAACTCCTGCAAAGCAAGAAAACTCCTTATGTAAATGGAAGCATTTAATGTTTTAAAAAAACACAACTTACATTTACATGAATTTGCTGCTGAAATTTAGATTCCACTTTACCTCCAGGAAAGTACTGTTCCAAAGCCGAGAATGTAAAACCAGGACTGCACTACTATCCAGATCTTTGAGAGGACAACTTATATTAACACATCGAGCAGTTGAGTTTTTGGTACAATCCTAGAAAAAATTAAAATCAAATGAGGATTTTAAACAAAAGGAATGCCAATGTTTTAAGCATTGAAAAGCAGTTCCACTTACCAGAGTTTTATATTTTCTTTCCTCTGAGAAGAAAGAGAACGGCCGTATTGATGTCTTGTCCGATTCCGCTTTGTTGATTTCCCTTTTTTTTCTGCTTTGATTAGTTGTTTCCTGAAATAAAATTACTGAATGTATAAAAATTACAAGCCTCATCATATTCTACTTGTAAGG